ATTATTAAAATTAATTTTTTGTCGTTCCCATCAAAAACGTGTGTGACTTCAAAATGCAACATCAGCATGTAATAAGATATCACCGTTTTCAGAACTCATGCTTGATAACGTTAACCAACTCGTGGCGCAACTTGAGAAAATTTTCCTACGATAACTTTATTTATGAAATAATTGTCACATGATTCTAGAAGGCTGAATTGTTAGCAGTTCCGATATGCAAAATGCGATTTCTCAAATTTTTATTAATTATTTCAGAGTTTATATTTTTCAGATTATACAAAAGTGCTAAATTTATCAATGTTCTATTTTTTTTTTATTTAAATTTCTTACTTCTACGGTCGGAGTTACTGTATGTTGTAATCATTTTCATGATACTTAAACGTTAAGGATTCTTTGATCATTTTAATTTTGTCAAATTGCAAACGATTTTTAATTTCTCTAATAGTTAAGAAGTGTTTAAGTTATACTGGATGATTCAAAGTGGATGTCAGGTTAAACTTTTATGGTGAACGAGACCGAGAATGATTTATGGATGTAATACTTTTTACCCGTTTTAATTTAATTGTTTTTTCTATTTTTTGTTCGAACAGAATTAAAATTTCGAATACACTTAATGAAGGTCTGAAAATTAAAATTTTTACAAAAAGAACTTTTTATTTAACTATTCTGGAAAACAGTTAAATCGCCTCTTCAAATGATGTTTCATCATAGTATACCTAAATATTAGGAATTCCGAAATAGAAACATGTTGTTGAAAAAATTTGCATATTTATTGTCTTAGGTAGCCATGAAATTGCCAATTAATTCGATGGAACATTTAGAAAATTTGACAAATAATGGATTGTTAATGGTTGTTATCTATATTGTGGAAGGATGCAAACAACTCGATCGATGGAAATGTTGACCTGAATAATACCTTCATGAATCTGTTCATTTTTTGTGGACAATGTCGACAAATTATCGCAGGAGCGTCATGATTAATAATGAACTATTACTGTTCCGTCGAGTCGGAATTGTTTTGTTTTATTTTTCCTCTTCAATTTTTGTAATTGGGGAATTTTTATATCGAGCATATTGAAATTGGTTTTCTTTTAATTAATTGCTGCGGTTATATTCTCCGCGTATTTTGGTGACAATCTCACTGGGTATATGGCCAGAAAAACTCGTATGTCGCTTGGGTGTCGTACTCCGCTGTGATCGGGACTAGTACGACTCAGGCAGAGACCAACGTGAGAGCATTTTCCGCGTGCCAGAATTAATATCTCGAGTGCCGTCAAGTATTGCGAAATTGTGCCGGTCAACAGCCAGAGCTACATCAAGGTAGGCCAAGAAGAAAAGAGATTGTCATTTTTCGTCTCGTTACATCAATATATTATTTTTTGAATCGCCCCGTTATTTCTAGCTTCAATTAAACAAAAAATTACAGTCCATTGCTCACGGATCACAGATCACGGATATTTAATTAATCGCGAAAATAACGTGGCCAAATTTCAGTTTGCTCGTTTCAAAAGGAACAGAATTTAAAAATTTGAGATTTTTTGTGGTTCCATTCGGACAGGTACCGAACTCGCACCGATTTAACCTAGACGTCGCCGTCGCATCCAACGATCGATCGCGCTATTTTCGGCACTGCGTACTCGCAAAAAATATATTGGTATTTTCAAAATTTTTTTGTCGCATAAGGAAGATTATTATTTCGTCGTTGTACATTTTTTGTTTAGCATTTAATTGTTGCATTCTTTAAATATTATCTCAAATACTCTAATTTAAATATTAGCTCGTTAATCAAAAAATTTACACGCCACTCTACTCTCGCTCTCTCCCCCCGTCCCCCCGTCTCACCGGTGTTTGCAAGCATTTATATAGGAGTGCCTATTGTCCACTACTAACTAAAATATTTTAAATTTATTTATTTATTGATTATTATTATTGTGATCATTATAGGAAATTGTAGAGTTCAGCTTGTTGTATTTTGGCTCAATTAGCTGACCGTAATTGATATAATCAATTTTTCCTTCACATTTATTCCTTTGCTTAAAAACAAAAAATGAGCGATAAAAAACTTAAAGGTTTGATAGCTCAAAGAGATAATGCTTCTAGTCGTTTGAACGAAATGTTCGCAGTGGCTACTCGAGCTTTAACAGATAATGCAATTCACATGGAGTTCAAGGTTCGTTATATGCATTTACCAGCTATTCTTACGGACTTTGAAACCCAACATGCAGCTATTTTAAATATTTTGGCGACGGTTGACGATAGTGACCAGAGACATATTAGGAAAGTTTTTGACGACACATATTACAAGATTGCCGCTACTTATTCCCAATTGTTTGATGGTACTAAAATCAACCCCAGTACTCCAAGTCACATCAAGCTGCCTAAATTAGAATTGAAAAAATTTGATGGTTCATTGCGCAATTGGAAGACATTCATCGACCTTTTTAATTCTATGATTCACAATAACTTAACTCTTTCAAATGTTGAAAAGTTTACATACCTCATAAATTCCTTAGAAGGGCCCCCATTGAGCATTGTACAGTGCAATCCTTTAACTGAATGTAACTATATCATTGCTTATAAGACATTGACTGAGCGCTATGAGAACTCTCGCTTGATTTCTGTCAGTCATTGGCGTGAAATAGAAAAAATAAAACCCCTCCAGAGTGAAACGGACGTGAAGGCCATGCAGTTATTATTAGATAAATTTTCCGAACATTTATCAGCCCTCGACTACTTACGTCATTCTACTAAACAGTGGGACTTTGTTCTCTTTTACATGCTATTCGATCGTTTAGATTCAAGCACTGCAACTCGATTTGAGCTGGAATGCGGAAACTCTTTAGATGATATTAACTACAAAAACAAACATTTTGAAGTTTTGTTAAACTTTCTCAAAAAACAATGCGTTGCTCTAGATACTGTCTCCCACTTTTCTCATTCCAAGATAACGGAAAAGGAAAAACCCTCTAAATCGCAGAAAAGAACCTTTCTTTTAAATTCTGACTCCTCCAATTGTCCAGTTTGTCATAAACGAGGCCATTCAATTTATAGTTGCCCAGAGTTTTTAGAAAAGGATTCTGCTAACAGATATAAGTTGGTAAAGATCAAAAACTGGTGCACTAATTGCCTAGGTTTAAAACATACAGCATTCAAATGCTCATCTCGTGTACGTTGTGGCAAATGCTCAAAGCCACATCATACTTTATTACATCATGATAAACAGCTCAGCCCTGATCATAATCCTTCCACCAGTTCAAATAATTTTATTAACAAATGTGATGCAGGAACACAGTCAGTTGCTTTAACGAACATTGATTCTAGCCCTGATGGTAGAGATTCTTCAGTTCTTCTACCTACCGCTCAAATCAAAGTTTTAGACTCGCTTGGTTACTACAGACCTGTTCGAGCTTTACTTGATAGTGGCAGTCAAGTGAACTTTATAACATCTAAATGTTTTAATAGGCTTGGTCTTAGTCGAAAGCCTCTCTCACTTTTTGTAAAAGGTTTAGGAAATACCACCTCGAACGTTTCTCAAGAGGTTACTTGCACGTTTATCCCTCGAATGTCCAGTGAACCCCGAAAAACCCTTGATTTTGCAGTTATACCCCAAATTTGTGATAACATGCCCAGCTCTGATTTACCGGATGTTAGCTTTAGTAAATTTTCCCACTTAGACCTTGCCGATGATAAATTTAATATTTCAAGTCCCATTGACATGCTTCTTGGTTGCGATGCATTTGGATTTCTATTTAAAGAAGGCTCTATTTCTCACTCTATCCATGAACCTGTGGCTATTAATACACATCTGGGTTGGATTATTACAGGTCGAGTACCAACATCACCACCAACTCTCTCAAACAATACCCTTTGTTGCACCTCTACACTTTCACTCGAAGAGGTTGTTAGTAAATTCTGGCATCTCGAACAGATTCCTCAAATAAACGCCCACTCCCTTGAAGATCTGGCTGCAGAAAAAATCTTCGTTGAAACTTACTCTCGAGATAACACTGGTCGATACATTGTTCATCTCCCGTTTAAATTCTCTTCTCTACCGGTATTCGATCATTCAAGAAACATTGCCTTACGTAGGTTTTATTCACTTGAACGACGACTCTTGCATAATCCAGAACTCCGCAAAGAATATAACCTATTCATGCAAGATTATTTGTATTCCGGTCATATGGAACTTGTTAAACCTTTGCCACATACTAATCATCAATACTATATACCTCATCATTGTATACTTAGACCTGAAAGTGTAACTACTAAACTTCGCGTTGTCTTTGACGCTTCGGCAAAGGCGGCTAATAACTTATCTCTTAACGACTGTTTGCTAGTTGGACCCAAACTTCAACAAGATACTCTACTCTACTCCTCCAATTTCGCACTCACTCTGTCGTTATTACGACCGATATAAAGCAGATGTTTAGGCAGATACTGATGTCGGAACCTCACAGAGATTATCAGCGTATTGTCTTCAGGTTCTCCAAAGACGATCCTATTCAAGATTATAGGCTTAATACTGTCACTTACGGAATCTCTTCCTACCCCTTTCATGCCATTAGAACTTTAATCCAATTGGCTCAGGACCACGAAGATCAATTTCCTCGAGCTTCAAAGGTTATAAAAACCAACGTTTATGTTGATGACATATTGTCAGTTGCTGATTCTGTCGAAGCAGCTTTGAGCCTTCAAAAGGAATTGATCGATCTCCTTGCCTTAGGGGGTTTTCAACTCCGGAAATGGGGTAGTAATAATCCCCTTCTTATTTCCAATTTAGATAAATCACTCTCCCAAGTTCCGGTTTCGCTAGACAAAGAAAGTGATCAAACTATTAAAATTTTGGGTCTGCAATGGTGTCCCACCTCAGATACATTTACTTATAAAATTGATCCCAGACAGCATGCATGTACTAGACGTAACTTACTGTCCGATTTGGCACGAATATTCGATCCTCTCGGGTTCTTAGCTCCCGTTACTGTCTTTATCAAATTACTAATTCAAAAACTATGGTCTTCTGGAATAGAATGGGGCGAACTGGCTCCAGAGTCGGTGTCGTCCGCTTGGACCTTATACAAGGAGAATCTGCCACTCTTGTCCTCTTTATCTATTCCTCGAAAGGTTACCTTCGATGACATGAAATTCTGCGAATTACATGGATTCTGTGATAGTTCTGAAAGTGCCTACGCCGCTGTAATTTATGTACGAGCGGTGCTAGGTAACCAAGCAAAAATTTTCTTCTTGTGTGCCAAATCAAGAATAGCCCCGCTCAAGAAAATTTCAATTCCTCGTTTAGAGCTATGCTCGGCTGTACTCTTAGCAGATTTGATCTAAATTGTGATGCAGTCGTATCGATATATGTTACCCATCAGCTCAGTCTTCGCATGGTCTGATTCAACTGTTACGCTTTCGTGGATTCAATCTTCACCCCGTAAGTGGGCAACATTTGTTAGCAACAGGGTTACCCATCTTCAGGAAAAGGTATCTCCTAGTCAATGGTCTCATGTGTCTACACAAGAAAATCCTGCTGACTGTGCTACCCGCGGCATTGTACCCTGCGAATTACTCCACTTAGAAAAATGGTGGTCGGGGCCGTCATTCCTAACTTCCCATTGTGACCCTTGGTCAAACGAGTCTCTAAAGATCAACGAAGTGACATTAGAAAGACGAAAGACGACTCTTACTATTTCGACTACAGAGAGATGTTGCTGGCCGGTTCTCATCTTTATCAAAATTGAATCGCATTTTCGCTTACATAATGCGCTTCATCTCAAAGACTAAAAATCCAACGCTGTTGCTAAATGAATGTTTTTCTCTATCTGAACTCGACCAAGCCCTCTTAATGTTAATCAAGCAAATTCAAAGATTTTATTATAACAAGGAAATAACTGCACTCTCTAATAAAGACTCGTATAATTTGAAGTCCTTCCCGAAATATTTTCGCAGACTCACTCCCTTTCTTGACCAAGATGGTATTCTCAGGGTGGGCGGACATTTACATCACTCTTCTATTTCATATAGTAATAAACACCAGTGTTTACTTCCAAGTGATCATAGGCTGACTCGTCTGATTGTGGAGCATACACATGTTAAGTACTTACACGTTGGGCAACAAACTACCCAATATTTACTTAGCCAAAGATATTGGATCCCGTCCTCTAAAAGAGTGATACGAAAGGTCATCTCTTCTTGCGTTCGTTGTTTTAAAAGTAACCCCTGTTCTTCTCCTCCGGTAATGGGTAACTTACCAGCAGTGCGAGTAAATGAAATAAAATGTTTCACCAAATGTGGGGTTGATTTCGGTGGTCCATTCCAAGTAACGATGGGCAAAATGCGAAGCTCGAAAGGTTATAAGGCTTATATTTGTCTTTTCGTATGCTTGGCCACCAAGGCTCTGCATTTAGAACTCGCTACTGAATTGTCTACCGATGCATTCCTTGCGGCGTTAAGACGGTTTATTTCTCAGCGTGGTCTTGTCACGGACATCTACAGTGATTGTGGCACTAATTTTATTGGAGCCGCCAAACAACTCGCTCAAAAGATGCATAATGCTTCCACACGAGAAGGCATAAGGTGGCACTTTAACCCTCCTTCGGCGCCAACTTTTGGTGGAATTTGGGAGAGTAACATTAAGTCAGTGAAAACCCATATTGTTCGGGTAGTAGGAACCCATATTTTAACCTACGAAGAGTTCATCACAGTTCTGACCGCAATTGAAGCGATTCTAAATTCTAGGCCATTGTGCCCTGTTAGTTCCGACCCTAACGATCTAAGCGTTCTAACTCCTAGTCATTTTCTAAATCTTCAACCTCTTAACACATTTATTGAATCAGATTTAACCGAAGTTAAATTGGGAAGACTCTCGCGTTAGCAGTTATTACAGCGCATGCATCAGGATTTTTGGAAAAGGTGGCATCGTGAGTATCTTCACACCCTTAACCAAAAATCCAAGTGGTATGATCCCTCCACTGATATTAAAATTGACACCCTGGTGTTAATTAAAGAAAATCTCTCTCCTCCATTGGCTTGGCATTTGGGGCGCGTAACAGAAGTCCATCCGGGTACGGACGGAGTGGTGACGGCAAAGGGTATTCTCAAACGCCCAGTTTTAAAGGTTTGTCCTTTGCCAATATATTAGTTATTAATGTTTTCCAATATATTAATTTTTAATTTTAAGCTTAGAATTCGCGTGGGTATCGGAATTGTTATTATGGTTTTTGTTAATTATTTTCTTTTTTTTTGGATTCATTAATAAAATGTTGCCATTTTAGGTGGGCGGTATGTTCCGTCCAGTCGGAATTGTTTTGTTTTATTTTTCCTCTTTAATTTTTGTAATTGGGGAATTTTTATATCGAGCAAATTGAAATTGGTTTTCTTTTAATTAATTGCTGCGGTTATATTCTCCGCGTATTTTGGTGACAATCTCACTGGGTATATGGCCAGAAAAACTCGTATGTCGCTTGGGTGTCGTGCTTCGCTGTGATCGGGACTAGTACGACTCAGGCAGAGACCAACGTGAGAGCATTTTCCGCGTGCCAGAATTAATATCTCGAGTGCCGTCAAGTATTGCGAAATTGTGCCGGTCAACAGCCAGAGCTACATCAAGGTAGGCCAAGAAGAAAAGAGATTGTCATTTTTCGTCTCGTTACATCAATATATTATTTTTTGAATCGCCCCGTTATTTCTAGCTTCAATTAAACAAAAAATTACAGTCCATTGCTCTTTCTCGTCCAATTACAAACAAATTTTATTAATTTTGTGTCAAAGCTGAAAGCGGAACGATATTTACTCAAACCTGTAACGTCTGTTGAAAACAACTTAATAATTGTACTCCAAAGAATCCTTCGTGAACATAGCATCGAACTAGAGTATTATGAAAATCGAATTCAATTTTGTGAAACGATTCGCATCATTACTCATAAAGATCCTTTTCACGGAAAATTGTATCGACAGATGAAGCCAAATTTTCTTGAGTGGGCATTTTCAGTAGAAAAAACGAAACGTTTTGTTTTTGTGTTCTCAAAGATGATAAAATTACTCTTTTAATGAAGAAATGTTCCTCTAAAAATGACAGATATGATGCTCTAAAGAGGTCACCCGACGTTACGCCCTGGCACTTTTATACGTGAGGCAATTTAAAAAGAAACGTGTTCAAAACATCTGTACAAGCTAAACGAGAACTGCACTAACGAGGGATCCCTTGCAGTCAACATTTTTAAGATTTATTGCTACTTTCTCAAAATCGATGAAATAGAATTTTTCAAAATTATCTACGGTTCCATAAAATTTTTATATCTCGGTAAGGGTAGGTTTTAGAGGACCACCATCGGTATAAAAATAATCAGCGTCGAAAAAACTTTTTTTTGTCTGTCCGTTCTGCTTCCTCTGTTCCTGGACATTTTCGACAATAACTTCCGAACGATTTGAACTAGATGGTCCAAATTTTTCTTTTTTTTTTAGCAGTCCACGGGGCGCACCATATTTTTTTTCGATTTTCAACTATTTTTTTGGACATGAAACACGATGTGTACGAAATTTGAAGCTATGGAGTTCAAATCAAACACACACATAGTTTTTGGTCTCCTAGCAAAATAAATTGAATTTTGGCGGGTTCCGGGATAGGATGGGGGAGGGAAGTATTTTAAAAAAATAAAAAGTTGCGTTTGCAATTAATTGTCTAAGAAAAAGATCATCTCTCAGCATTCGCAAAAAATTGCTGATGTTGATAACTGTCAACAACTAGAAGGCTGTGTTTCAAGAATTAATGAAATTATTTTCTGATTGTCTACACATCTTCTCGTTCATTGGTTGTAAATCATAAACAATTTTATTAACCTTTAAACAAATACACCGAAACTTTATTGAGTAGTTCTTCTTTTCACCCATTAAGGGTTTCTGTTGTTCAATCAAATTGATTGACTATCTTATGGTTGCTTAAAGCAAATGAGCCAAATAATAAAAAAAATATTTTTTTACAGAAACCGGCTTTTATTTCGTAGTCCTTAATACTTAGCTTCGCTAGCCTTATATGGAGATCCAGAAAACAGTTTACGACCAATTTCGTTGAATAAGTACACGCAGATTTATAGGGAGATGTTAATTTATTGCAACTACAAAATAGTATACATTAATAAAAAATATATCAAATGAAAATCAAAAACACAACTTATTTTGAACCATTTCCGAGTATTACAGATTTTGCGGCGTTAATCAGGGGATATGGGCCTGTATCGCAAGACCCTCGAAAATCATCTGTGTCCAATGACCAGACCATAAATCCACCCACGTTGTTTTGTAAAGCATATTGCGCCTTTATATTAATAGAAAATATATCATCATAACCTATCCATTGATCCTCAAAAATTAAGTGTGGTACTTGCTGCTCGTCGTCCCAAATTCTCGTATAGGAACTGTTCAAGCTGCAGATCTGTAATTAATTAATTAAATTGGAAACAGAAACAACTACCGAACAGACCGAAACTTATGAAATTATATATTTTTTATTGATTATAAGACTGAAACTAAGATATGAAACAATAACAATTATATTTTTCTACTCTGAAATACTGAATACTGATCAAAATGTCATTTACATCTTTACTATTTCAAAGTTAGCATTAATTATTAAACTGATACAGAGTTTCAACATAACTGAAATATAACATAAACTGAAAATTTAAGCATGTCAAAGCATAGAACTTGATTCGCTGAGCCCATATAACCATTATATAATATAATGAGCCTACTATGGTGAAAATTGATGCGCCTCAGATGACATTGCAGTAGAGAAGTAGGAAGTAAAGATTTAATGGGATCTGGACATATAAATATAAAATATCGAGAATGTACATGTTGAATGTACCTTGCCAATTTTTTTTTATAGTTGCTTTCTATATAAGCGGGGCTTCTATATCTCACAAATGTTTAGTTATATTAACCAATGGTATCTATTTTAGCAGGTATATATGTATACCAATTTCAAATTTTGGTAATATTCACCCAGTAAGAATCATCCTGTACAATATGTTACTACAAAACTTACTTCGTGATATCCTAAAACCCCGACCTGACGAGTAAATGGGCCTGGTAATCCGCCATCTGCAATCGACTGATACAAAGCAGTTTGATTTGAGTCACTCAAAGTAAATGTTCTTCCGAAAGTTGCAAGCCCCAAATTAACTTTTGCAAGATCAATTCCTCTTTTTATTCAAGCGTCGAGACCGGCCGCCTTGAAAAAAGATTATTTAGGTAGATACAAGAAAATGCATTGTTTACTTACGACGTTTAGATCCGTACCACCGGAATCTGCATCCAACGAACTGTTGAACAAAGGACTGGAATGACCTACGTACGTGTTGAAATGGCCGTGATAATCGAACGTGATAACGTTTATGAAGTCTAGAAACCTGCAAAAAAATAATTTTTCAAAGTTCCTCATTTAGTTTTCATAAACATATTTTAAATTCCACTAAAAAGTAGTTTTGTCAAAACTATCTAACAGTGTTGCTATATGTTTGTGGGTCATGTGCAAAGATAATAGTGTCTTTGGTCATGTTGCTCTGCGAAAGTAACTTCCAGAATTTGAAAAAAAAAACAATGTTTGTTAAATAAATAAATTACTGACCTTAAAATATTAAGAATTAACCTAAATCTAGATTGAATGTGTGTCTCGATATTTTGGTCTTATTAAAGTTATTTAGATTGTAACAACAAGTTAAGTACTGGAGAATCAAAAAATTGTAGTATAGTGGCAATTCCGCCAGTGGCGTGGAATTTGGGGAGCGACAACCAGCTACAGAAACATTTATTTAGCATAATCCTTTAGTTTAGTTTTTGCCAGCACAGTATTTCTTTTCCAGTTCGGGACTAGTTTTTGATGAATGAACTAACCAACGAAAGGTTAAAAATAGATCACGACGTTTGACCACCGGCATTAGATATTAGATGGTTAGACGAAAAAGACGTAAAGACGGGTCACGGACTAATTATTATTGTCTATATATCAAGTGTCAACGAAGTTGTTGTATGGGAAAGAGAAAATATAGTTTTGTATAATTTGCCACAACGTCGGACTGTATTTATTCCCTCATTCCCTTAGACTATAAACAAACCTAAAGAACTTACAGCAGTGATTTTTCCTGTCATCATTGTTAAATGAATCTCCCTAAAAATCCGTAAGTAATTATTTTATCTAAGTGATTTCGGTCATTTTAAACTCGACAATTCCAATTATTAATGAATCAAATCTTCCACCGGAATAACTTTTGGATGGTCCAGAGTCATCCATTTCCAAACTATTAAGTACTTTTTCATATTTATTTTTTTGTGATGGAATTTGTTGCGGTAATGATCAGCAGATTTTTTAGGTGACATATAATTTGATCCCCATCTTTTATCATTATTTAAACAAAACTTAGGATTGACCTGCCCAGCCAGAATTGTCTGTTAAATTGAACGGATAATCATCAAGAAAAAATGTCGGGAATCTTAAAAAAGGTAACGCAAGTTTATGCAAATTTCAGTTACCCTACGTCAATACAGTTTCTTAGATCCCAATGTCTAGAGTCGCATTTGAAATACCTGATAATACGTAATTATTTGAATCAGATTGTTCTGCACTACGTTGTTGTGCAGATATTTATTTGATTTATTAACTAATTTAGTTGAATTATTATTTATTATAAATGTTTATAGTTTTTATTATCAAATATAAAGTGTATAACTACATACCCGTTAAGTTGAGCAATATCGTAGGAATCGTTAAGAAATCTAGGACCTGCATTAACAGCAGCAGAGATTAAGTATCCCTTAGGCTTGAAAGTTTCCTGGAGGTCCTTGAGCAGCAACAAAAATTATTTTTAATCGCCTTTTAATGGGCAAATGGGCGATCATTGAGAATGTCAAAAACTGCGAGAACGGTTAATTTCATTGTGTAGGTAGAATTATTTTCTAACCAGAAAAAGGTGTTTATAGCTCACCTACGAATGTAGATATGTATATGAAAATTATAATGAAAGATGAAAATACTTTTTTTTTCAATTTTTAATAAAATCAAAAATCTGATGACGAGCATGTTGTCTCACGCACATATTTAATTCCATATATTTCTCACATCATAGCAAAACGAAATATACAAATATTTTCGGGTGTTGAAACTAAAATGTCCATTACATTTGGATAAAAAAATAAAATGTATTTACTGATGCCTTAATGCTGGCAATCAATACTCTTACATTGCCTTACAGCTCATCTTACCTTATCTTGTTCGTTGCACCTTTCATTAAAACACATGTTCTTACTTTTACAGTGTCTTAAATCTTTTATTATATAATCTATACCTTATCTTGATCGTTGCTTGCATCGTTTCGCGTGGGATAATCCCAATCGAAATCAATTCCATCAAGTCCATATTCATCGAGGAAGGCTACGGCTGAATCGATAAGTGTTCCGCGGAGTGAAGAATTGGCTAGAACATTCGAATATTCTTCTGGGCTTTCACTAAATCCCCCAATACTAATGAAGAGTTGCAGGTCCGGATTTATTTCCTTTAAGGACGCAAATCTATTCAATCCATCTACAAAGCATCAAATTATTGTCACAAATACAAACGTAAAATTCCAAATAAACTGAAACGAAAATGAGAATTTCAAAGCCTTGAAACTTTAACCATAAACCTAAATAAAACAGAAATGTAAAATGTTTGCAAATTTGCAGAGCATCATCAGTTGTGTTACTCACCGAGACCATTGCTATTTGCTTGATGCGGATCTACTACTTGAAGACTTCCATTACTATTTACTCCGATGTAGGCGAATGATACTTGGGTACATAGAAAAGGATCGATATTGTCCACGTCGAATTTTCCGTCTCCGGGCCTGTACACTGCCCAACTTGCATAATAACAGAATATTCAACCTAGAGAATGACAATAATGTAATGGAAAATGTATCACACTTAACGCACACTTTGTAAACTTTGTTGCACAATTTAATCGTGTTGAAGAAAATCTCATAAAAATTAAACGAAGTTAGATTAGATGAAATTCTATACCATCAGGTGAGTTTATTCTTGGGTTCGCTTTCTCAAAAAGCCGGATTGCACGTTACAAATACAAAACACAATAGAAACAATATTTTTCATTAATTTCTAAAAAATACATCATCCAGTAATGGAATTATATGCGCTCCGTTAATGAATAAATAAATAAAAAGTACTATATATATATATATATATATATATATATATATATATATATATATATATATATATATATATATATATATATATATATATATATATATATATATATATATATATATATATATATATATATATATATATATATATATATATATATATATATATATATATATATATATATACTATATATATAAGTAACAAAACTTTGATAATTTGGAATTAAATCGATGTTGGTAATTGTAATCTGCTCAAAATATTTTCAAAATGGCAGCACATCTGAATATACCGGAAGGTGTCAATTCTTATTTTCAATGGAACCCCCTATATATAATTGATTTTTTAGATTCCCCGGAAAATTATAGATATATTTCGTGTACCCGTCTACCTAAATTTCACAGTTTCTGAGATATTTGATATTTTAGGTTAAAAATTACATTTGCTGACCGAACACTACCTGTAAATTTTTCTCATTCGGAAGGAAGCCTTTAAAATTTTACTCTATTAACTTACCCTGTAAAAATATTCTGTTCAGTTACTAATTTTGAATATTAATAATACAGGATATTGAAAAAGGTAAAAACTAAAGTTGAAAAATCTGTCGAAACCGCCTTTTTTATCTTATAAAAATTTGTGTTAGGTATTTATAGTTTTGCCGTTTATCAGTGACCATAATTATACGCAAGAAGAATAATTCAAAATGATTATGAGATGATGAGATAGATGAGAATATTACAATGTTTTAACCAGAACATGTCATACGTTTGCGATTCGTAATTCACAAAAACAGACGCCATATACAGTTAAGAATATTATAAAAGATCGATGGTTAACTGAGCATAAAGAGGAGACAAGTAAAAAAAAATGGCAATATATGAAAAATTCTAAATATTTGAAATACATAACCTATAACAGAATGGTCCTGATTTTTAATTCTAAATGAAACAGAATGACAAAAATAAGTTGTTTCCATTTGAAAAAAATTATATTAGCCTATTTTAGAGATGCTTGTATTAAAGCTAATTAATGAGAAATGCTGCCTTATCCGCTTGAAATTTAATCTCTTCGAATAACTGGGTGCAACTCGTACTTAAATGGATCCAGTGCGGTTTATCGGCTCGGGACTCGGTTCGAAATTAAGGACTTTTCCTATAAATCCTCCATTGCATTGACGTTCATTTTTGGTTCAGAATAGGTGTGAATGATGGGTAATCCACACGTCACTAATAGCACTTAAGCCACAAACTATAAGATCTATTCTGCGTACCGACACTTTTGACAAGATCCTGATTTTTTTAAATTGTTTTTTATATAATTGTATTTCTTACCTTGTGATTGCGATTTCGAGATAGATCCCAAAAGGGTCATCACGATGCACAGTATAATTTTTTGATCCATTGTTTTCTTTTGTTATAATGAAGACATTAAAAAAATCGCAATATAAAAGGCAATTCTGAGTGCGTTATCGCTGAGATTATCAGTTGCTTGCTTCAGTTTTTCGATTGGACTTGCGAGTTTTATTTTTCGAAACGAAGTATTTGTGTGCTAATAACTTTAAGGTGTCGGTAAGCCTTGCGACATACATTACTTCGTTCAACCTCGATAGATATTTTTGTTACTTTATGTACAGATTTAGTCATTCTGGCAGGTGTCTCTAAATTGCAAAATTATCTGGAGTAAAATTATAATAATAATATATAATAATAAAAGAAAAAAAAAGTTCATATAAATTTTGATATTTTCTAGAAATTTACCAATGTCATTTATAATGAAAAAGGCCTAATTTTGCATAACTAGATAAAAATTGTGAAGTCAAGTGACAACAAAGGAGGTATCTTAACGAATTGTACAGTCAAAGAGATATACACCGCAGACTTGTTTGCCACTAAAAGGACATTTTTTATTATTTAACTGTTTTCATATCTTGCGTCATTGTCTTCATTACAAATTACAGATGAATCACCAGATGAGCGTTGATACATGTTTTGAAACAGCCTGTATGCATAAAAACAAGATATATACGTACAGAATAGAACTTGAATCAGAAGAATTAAAAAAAAACTACGATAAGCAGCAGTAGAGTCACTATGTTTTAAACGCAATTCTACTATTAACGGATATTTCGTTCAGGAACCAGCAGGTTTCCATAACAGCTAATTTCATTTAGCACATTGAGTAAAAGATATTGACGCATTTCCCCTAGCGATGTTTATAACTTCCTCTGATTTTCCTGAAAAGAATATTTTTTTAAAATTAATTAATAAAAGTCGTTAAATTGCTTCGTTATTTTCGAACTACAAAACATGCGTTGCGCCATCCACAGTAAATTAATTAATCACTCATTATCTGCCTAACAAGCTATCGTTTCGATGATTGCGATCATTCCGAAAATAAAAATTATGTCCCAGCAAGTGTACAAATGTCTCAGCATTTTTTTTTCATTTAAAATATTTGATTTAGTAAGTGCAATGGGCTTGAACGTCCACTTTTGTTTTTATTTTTTTGGAATTTATTTCAAAAGTTCATAAACGCATCCCTTACCCTTTACGACATTTAGTTTTTATAAAACTATCGTTAAATTACTTTTTAATTATGTATTAAAAATTATCATCGAACAATTTAGGATATTAGATAAAAAAATGGTATGATAGGGTTTCAATTCGCTCTATTGAGACTGTTGAATAGAAATCCTTTCAAGAAACATTACGTGTACAAAATTGACAATAAGACAAAAATTGTTAGACAAGTTTTATATATTCGACTGTGTAAGTGGTGTTTTGGCTTCAGAAATACAAAACAAAGGCTGCCTTCTTATTCATATTCAGAAACATTATGCACTGACCAGACTGATAATCACGTCATACATCATTACTCGGTGGATTAATTCTCAAAGCCATTTCACAGGTCCAAAACGTAAAATTAGGCGGTCACCAAACGTGTCTTTCAATAAATGGATTGTGGCACGAGCTGTGTGACATGTTGCGCCGTCTTGTTGAAACCACATCCCCTGGACATCATGGTTATTCAATTCAGGAATGAAAGAGTTAGTAATCATAGCTCTATACCGGTCACCATTGACTGTAACGTTCTGGCCATCATCGTTTTAGAAGAAGTACGGATAAATGATTCCACCAGCCCATAAAGCGCACCAAACAGTTGACGAGTCATTCAACCAGAAATGCGCTTCATCGCTAAACAAAATTCGCTTATGAAAATCGGGAACAACGGCAATCTCGTTTTGGGACCATTTGCAAGCGTTGTTCAGGCGTGAGTCTATTCATGATGAATTACCAAACCAAACTGAGAATAAATCACTTGACAGCTGTTAAATCGGTCGCCATCTTGAGCAGTAATGCTAACTTAAGCACCAACAACCAGTAATGACATCAGAAAATAAAGTGATAATACTTCACATCAGAACTACACTAAATTCATTTTGTGCTTATAATTTTCTTAACTTTTGCTTTTTTACTATTAAAATAATAAGAGTATGTAATAATATATGTATATCTTTATAAAACACCTAATTTTTTTAAAGATTAACTATTTTTCTTTGGTCCGCTACGATCGTCTAGTTATGACAAATGGCCCGTCCCCACCACTATCTTATAGTGACGGTTTGAGCACGCTTGATCCGCGTATAATTTGGTATTTGATGGAGTAGAAAAAAACTGGCCAGACTTGATGAGTGAATTTATTAAGCCTGACTCGTCGACTCGTTTAATATTAAAATTTACGATTAGCACCTACCCACCACGTTGATGTATATTATCTACAGTAAAAATGAATTGGCAAATTTCGTAATCAACCACTTTCTATAGTGAAGTGGGTACTTATAGGTACGTAAATAAATATTGTAGCAATAACAATTTCTCAATCTTATCAGTCATGCGTCCTGTCCGCATCCCAAAAATTTCTAGCGACAATGACGTCGGGAAAGGAAACTCCTGTAAATGGTATGGGTATTAAAGTGAACAACAAGACAACCAACATAATCTTAAGTTCTCATATATTAAACCTTCCATCAGAATATTATGGAATTAACACTTGCAACAAAAAATTGTGTTCACTTGAGTTGTAAAGAAATTAAAAATAAAATGCCTAATTATGCACTGTGTGCGGAAAGTGTCACTCTAAATCGTTAGCTTAATTGATCATTGTCACCAGCCAATTCAAGAATTTCCTCTACTTTTGTTAGGAACTAGGAGCAGTCGGATGCTTTCTGTAAATATTTAAAATACACTCGGTCTATTCGTGCTATTTCAAGACGATCGTAGAAAAATTAAAGTATGTAACTCGTTCATAAACTTGATTTTTCAAAGAAACTTCCACAGGCTACTGTAATACTATTATACTGTACCTGATTATATATTGTTGGACGGGGGGAGAGACCGGACGAAAAATATCAACTAAGCTCAAAGAACAAGAAAGAGCCTTACGACTAAGACAAATTAACTCATCAGCTGTTGCCGAACACACTCATGAGACCGGGCATAAAATTATATTCTTCTACCAACGAAAAATCTCAGAGTCTATAGAAATCTATAAACAACCTAACAATCTTAACCGCGACTCAGGTCTCTACCTGTCACCAATCAGTCATCCGAGAGGGTGTTTATACCACTCATTAGCGCCCCCCCTCAAAAAATATATAAGCAGGTACAGAGTACAATACGAGCCAGTTTCAGTCAAGCTCTGAAGAAGCGAAGATGATGATTGGCAATACGTCAGCAATTTCGACTCAGCAAAAACCGACGCAGGAGGAATCCAGAAGCTTTGTAAAAACGTTTATAAACTTCTTTAGATAGGCGTGTCAAAGTGTCATTTATAAAACCTTTTGCATGTTTTACATATATGCTAAGGGTTACTTGTATTTTGAAAAATCACTTCGTATATAAATTTCGCCGCATTATGCATTATGCGAGATAAATATATCAATTTTTGCTTTTTACAAAATTTCTGAATTCCTCCTGCGTCGGTTTTTGCGGGGTTGAAAATGCTGACGTTTCCCCAATCATCCTGTTGGCATTTTCAGAGTTTGACTGAAAAGTTTTGTAAAAAGTATTACAATAGCCCGTGGAAATTTCTTTGAAAAATATCAATTTTTGCTTTTTTTTTCAAAAACACAGACCTTAATCTGTTAAAAGGAACTTTCTGGCTGGCTGTTTTAACCATTAATGGTGAAATCTTTTAACTTAAAATTTTCGTGTGTTAAACAATTAATAATTTTGCAAAAGTGGACAGCGCTAACCAAATCTTTTAACATTAAGTTTAGTTTCATACATATTAAACTTAATCTTTAAGCGCGTCCGCTTTCGCCAGGTTTTTGAAGAAATTTAATATTAAATAATCTAAAACCATTTCTCTAAATCGATTGATATATGAGCATAGCAGATACTTTCGTAAATCTCTGTGGTTATAACAATACGGTTTTATGGGAAAGTCTGTGTGTTCTTTACTCGGAGATTACATCAGAAGTAGGAAAAATTGACTAAAAATACCACAAGCGTAAAATGGTAGAATTGAGGACGGTGTTAACTACTGCCAATTAGTGAAGGAAGTTTCGTTTCGAAATTCTGGTCGTGTATCGACGATCGAAAATCCAAAACTTCAGCCGAGTGATATGATGCTGCGAACAGAACTAGTCAGCTAGGCACTGGTACAACAACTTGCAGCCAATCGAGAAGTCATAAGAAACGAAATTTGCATTATCTGTCCCCTTAAATAGAATCTGAAAATTCGCAATATCGGCAAGTATATCAGTCGAAACGTTACACCAGCGTTCACCGCAATCTTTTTTTTTTTGTTCAGAAGCTTGGTTTCGATTTGATGACAAATCAATAGCAAAAGGACGGAAGCATTCGATGGTGTTGCGATTATTAGTCCATTTATGAAATTTACGAAAATGAGACCGAACTTCATTAGAAATATTTAGCACATTTCAAACTGAGACATCCAAAAATCTATCGGTTTTTTTCCATTTTATTTATTAACAAATTGAAACGTTGACAGTAAAGGCATACAAGCTTTACCAACACATTTTGTTGCTACCGTTGAAAACAAAAACAACATTGGAGAGAAGGAGGAGAGTGGCATACGAAATTACAATGACAAAAAACAAGAATCCGCATACGAAATCTTCAGGATGTCCACACATTGCGAAGATATAAGGGATATGGGATGGTGGTCAGAAGACACTATTTAAAAGTTGTAACAGCTGTGAGATTTTAGAAAAATTATTGCTGTGTGATATTTGTCAAACTACTGCTGTGTGCTTAATTTAACACGTAATGGCTGTACGCTTTTACAAAAATTATTGCTGTGTATTAATTGTCAAATTTTTGCTGTGTTTCAATGTCAGTCTACTGGATGTTCGAAATTAGGATGACTGAACGTTATGGTTTGATTAGTTGTGTGACAGCCAAGTTGTACGTAGATAATCTTTGTAGATTCGCGCAGTGTTCTCTAATGCTTTGCCTGAATGCTATCACGGATTCATGGATAATTCGATAGCGAATTTTTCGTCAGTCTGGTTGTGTGAGCATTTTCTAAATTTTTAACAGCTGACCCAGCGATAGGGACCCTTATTTTCTCATCTAATTCATAGCGTTCCTGGGAAAGCCATTTGCGCCTGGTTTGTGTATCGATAGATTTTGTAACACTCAAGAGATAGGCATTTTTTGAATCTCGGCATTTTTGCTTGCGTTCTCCGTCGAGAAGAAAGCAGCACAATTTTCTGTAAAAAACAGTTTTTGCAGGAAAATTTGTGTTTTCTTTATATATAGGACAATATAACAAATTGATAATTCGAGATTCAATTTTTATTATCGATGTTAAAGTTGGAAATAGTGCTTCAAATAATTGCGCTATAGTATAACATCTGATCTACTTAAAAGGAAAACATAGCAAGTAACACAATCTGGTAATTGTAAAGAATGTCGGGCCACTGTCAGATATATTTTGAACAAGTTTTAAAAAAATTCTTTCAAGTATAAAATATAAGCTTCAGGATAAAAAAAGATTCGAGTAGTTCACTAAATCGTGGAGATTTAAAGCTGAGTGTATAGAATCCTCGATAACGGAAATTGCGAGGTTCAAAGGAGATTAGATACTTACGACGGGATAATGAATTTCGCTCCCCAGCAAATCGAAGCAAGTTAGCGAATGATAAAGTAGCCAGTATACCCCAGTGGTGAAACCACATTTAATTGTAAATAACATCCCATTAATGATCGCCATTTATTAACTCGATAAAAAATATCGTACCTTGATTTTGATGTTTCATGTAAAACACTTCAAACTTCAAATAACTCCAAAACCAATATATTTTTTTACTTTATAACATTTTTGTCCTAAAAATGAAAAACATCCTTAAATTAAAATTGTTTGGGGCAAAATAGGCGATGCTCCAATAACGCATATTAAAATTTTGTCAACAATAACCTTTATGAAGTAATAAAATTTCATTTAGGTATTTTAGACAGATTCAGATATAATTTTAAAAATAAATTTTTGAGGACCCTTCTAAGCATTCAGAATTTTTGTATTATATTTACCCTGGAAATAAGCGGAACGTTTATTGAAGCACCCTGTACTTGTAGCGTGATTGGCTTGAATCACTTTGCCGTCAAAAAAGTTAGAACGGTTGATTCACCGATTATGATCGTTTGTTCAGTTGGTCTACTGTCTGTAAACAAAACTAACCAATATCTCGTCAGACCTTTGAATGTATTTTTAGTTGTCCCATTCAAGGATACTTAAACTTACTACGATCAGCAAACTGAATTTGTATTCATATTTCTCGGTAACATTCTCTTAATATTTTTATCCCTGCCTTCAGATAATACAATATCAATAAAGGATTATTTGATCTCAACTATGGACCACAGATTTTTTTTCAGAGGTAGAAAAGAATGAAAGACCCACTAAGCGGAAAGAGCTACGTATATCAATAGCATTCAGACGGCCCACGCTTCGTGAACTCACTTTCCAATAAATAAATCCGTTCTAATTTGCTCTCAATTCGCTAAAAGGGTTTTTATCGACTAAAACAGATATCAAGGGCGCTTTGTTCATTTGTTGTCAACATTTTCAACTGAATTAATCTTATAGCCGATACATAAAGCCATTGAACTTTCCAATAAATTTCAAATTGACTTTTATTGCTTTTGTTGTTTTGTCATGTTTCGAAGTGGCGTACAAGTTACAACAAAAATTCAATTCAAGAAATCATTTATATTTTCTAAAGGACTGCGCCCTTCTCAAAGATTAGCACTGATCACGCAATAGTCTTCATTATAAATATGAATGTTACACAGTACTAAATTATGTAAACGTAAACTAATAGAAGGCGAACTTTCAAAAGTGACTGCGAAATATCTATAAAGCAATGGCCACTAAACTTCAACGCCACGTCGTCCCAAACAGAAGAGTCGCGGTTTTGGATAGTATTTTTAAACAAAACCACGTCTCTGGTGGTTACTGAGGCGAGAAACATAAAAAATGGGTATTTCACCTCACGAAAACCTCTGTATGTAATATTTTAAAAAGCTGTGGGTGGTCCATAAAAAATAAATTTTTAAGAATAGATAATTTTTACAGTAGCATACTTAAATGTTCTTTAATTTCTCAATCCTAATTTGGGATAATAAATGATATCAGCAATCTTATTCTTTAATGATTTAGCTTGCAATATAAAATAAATGTTCATATTTTATAAAGATTCTGAAATAATAATACTAATAATAATAGTAAATTATCTTTATTTGAAAGTAAAATAATTACCTTCATTAGTTTTCTTAGAAAACCTAATTGGTATGCTGATGATAATCCAGGAATGCAAATTATGAAAAAAAAAAGTTGACAGTGTTTGAAATATAGGTATCGTTAAGTAAAGTCTGGAGAAATAAGCGGAGAGAGAAACTTATAATTTTGTGTGCCCCGTATATTGCTTCGAATTCCAAATCCCTTCTTCTATCGTCATCGCCGTTACAATAATTCTTATTGTCCTCATTTGAACATATTATTCATTTCATTATTACAGACCATCGCTCCCTATACTCCAAAACTTCGACACACACTCGCGCCAACTTGAACAAATCGATGTGAGTGACGTCACATTGCGCGAACAAGCGACGTCGGGCGTCGCAACGAGCGTCTCATTAGTCCCGTCACTTAAACCGTGCGTTTCCGACGATGCCTCTTTCTTGGAGGCCCCTTTTGCTACTTTTGATTTCGATTTGTGCAATTTGTACAGGCGATTTGTTTAGCAATTCGTTTTTGGTCAGATTCAAAAGGGAAGTGAATCCGGACGAGGCACATGGGATCGCGAAACGTCATGGGTTCATCAACATGGGACCGGTATGTAATAAATAACATAATAAACAGCTGTTCTCCCTTAGTGACATTTTTTGATTACACATCGACTCTTGACGCCATATGTTATTCATAGCGTTTTATGATGTTCGGAGACAAACTTTCGTCTTTAACCGACCTCACAGTAAAACATTTTGCACTGAATCGAATAAAAATAAATAAATAAAAATTATTTTGTATGATTTGCGATTAAGGTGCCCTAAGTTTTGGATTTATTATATATTAAACATATTCAAATTGTTAATCAGTCGGATCGGAAACATAGCATAGTAATATAATAAGTATTTGAAATATAAGAGAAACTATATCTTTTTAGTCTACGTTTTAGTAGACTAAAAAGATATAGACTCTGCAGAACAATTGTAGCCTATAAACTGTGAATTAGTGAGAATAAATCCCAAATTCATAATATTGTTTTATGGCATTCAAAACAATTTTTTGTTTGATAGTAAATAACGCGTCGATTATGAGCATGATGAAATTTCCTATTCAATTCCACCGAAATAATTCATATTCATTCGTTCATACTATTCATATCATAGTTCATAATATTATTCATAATTCATATATTATTGCAAGTTGATTACTGTGGTACACTATAATATACTTACTTAACTTATTGCAAAAATAATATATAAAACAGAAAATATGAAATGTGGTACAAAAAACCTTAAAAGAATTGGCTGGAATACACTAAATACAATTATGAATGATAATAAAAACAAAATATATTCAAATTGTAATCTACAGCAATGTATTTATTAATTTTATGTGCTATCAAATTCTAGAAATAGAATAAATTTTTAAGTGAATACGGCAAACAACTTTCCTAAAAAAAACATATTCATAAAATATACCAGCGATAATGCAGCATATAAATTGAACATCGATTAGGCAGGCCTGGAGAAATTTCCTTTAATTGACAGCCTCCAGAGTAACAAAAATGGAATGAGTTTAAATAGGAAAACGTGAGCCCCGCTGTTAATCTAATTGTGTAGAAGAACTTCTATAAATATCGCTGTTTACGCAGTTTTCTATAGGCACATTGCATAAGTATTCTTGTGAAAGAGGTAGGTACTTAACCAGATTCGTTATTATTCTCCAACGAACATCAAGCCACCCCCAAATTGAGTTCGATGTAGATATTTAAAAAAGTACATCAAAAATCAGCGATTTTGTTTTGATAAATTCGGAACAGCATTCGAAATATTTCTTTTTCAATTTTTCAGATACAGGAAAGTTTATTTTTCTTTCTATACTTTGTTTTCAGACAAATGCAGAAATAAGAACGCTGGGGGCGACAGATTTATTAATAATCGCCGCCCCTCTTCCACAAGCTGTAGCAGTTGCCTGGGTCCCTTAAAACTCGGCCTCCATTTCGTTAATTACGCACACTTTGAAACTCGTAAACAATTATCTGTGGTTGACTGCTAGTAGGCGTACTATAATAACATCCTTATGCACTGGAAAATATTGCAGTTAGGGCTTTCCGGTGACGCTGTAATTCAACTTCGCTGGAAGAAGTAGAAGTAGAAGTAGAAGGGTACAGTTAAAACATTGAGTAATTGTGTATTATTATACAAAACCGGTTTCTAAAACCACAACTAAGATAACTGTAAATACAACAGAAAGTTTACAGGCACAATGAATAGTTAATAATATAAGTCGGTTGTTTCTGTGGTACGTTAGAACGTTGTTACTCAAGGTTACCGCTTGCATTCCATGATCTAGAAGTTGTTTCAATAATGCAGTCAAGATCTACTTTGTGAGGCAAATTTAATTGAGGAGACAAAAAAAAGATTCTTTTCTTTGTCCTACAAGTTAATAATGCCCTCATATAAGTGTAATACGAGAATAGTTTACATTATTTCTTAATTCGTCTATCAGTTCGTTTATTCTTCTTTGGACTAAATGGCGGTGATAACATATTCACTATTTTTGACCGTAACAGTCTTGTGTATGTAGAATCTCTACTAATAATTTCATGCTGGTGTTAATTAATGAACAGGAGATCTGTTCTGTTTCTATAAATGAATAATAACTCATCGTATTATTGGATAAATAAAAAGAATAAATATGACTATATAAAAGTATTTTATGTAATAAACAAAATTATTATTTCGATTTTATCATTTGTATGACGCAATGATATAGATATTGGGGTGTGTAAAAATACAACCTTAATGTTAAATTTCTAAGTGTATCAATTAGTCACTCTTTCGGAGGTTCGTAAAGATTATTGTAAATTTATAATAGTATATAAATGTAAATAAATGTATATAAATGTATAAGAATCCTCATTACCTATCTTGTATAGTAAAATTTGCCTCAAGCCGTTGTCACTCAAGTTTAGATATGGCTCACTGGTTTTTACTGATTACCAAGATAAACAAAGAGTAAGTTGCATGGCTTACACCATAGGAACATCGTAACAATACAATGGTAACAACTGCAACAGCCGCCTTAGTTTGAACGGATGTCATTACTATTCTTGATATTTAATTTACAATTACCTTCATCCTTATCACAGTTGACATTGGCTAGAACCAATTAATTCTGATTTATCTCCAGGGGTCTTTGAAACTATTTGTATACTTTCGCAAACGAAATATAAATTGCGACTATAAATTTGAAAATATTGCGACCATTTTACAAAATTCGTTGCCTATGGTTAAATAAAAACCCCACTGAACTGAATTTATAAATTACTTTTTGGCTCGACAAACGCTATAGGTACCATTTTGCATACTATCCAACAAGTTTATATTTAAACAGATAACTTGGATTACTGATCAAATATTTTGGGTTTGTCTTATTAAAGTTGCCTAAATTTCTCCCAGTTTTTGTTATCTTACCTAAATATTTTTGTTGCAATTTTGAAGTAAATTATTTTGTATAATTTTCTCAACTTTTTAACTTAATAGAACTTTTAGCAGACTAGCAACTAAAATGGCTTTGTAACCGTCAACAATTGGATGACGAATATAGAGTTATTTTGGCCTTAAATGATCTCCTTCTTCCCTTAACAGTAACATAAAATGCGTAAAAACATTGTTATTAATATGGAGAAAATGCGTTTTGAAGTACGCTTATCTACCGATTTTCAGAAGAGTATCTCAAAGGATGTATAAAGGATAAATTTAAGTGATAAAGAAAACATTTATTTTTAGACATTTAACGCACAGTATCTCATCAGTAAAGAAGCATTTATTTTAGAAATAAAATCACCAATTAAAATACATGTTAAGTATATGAGTCAGACATGAAATTGCATTGTTCAAAAACTATAACGTAACATACACAGTTTGAAAAAAGCGGTATAATTTGTTGGACAATGTGGTCATAGTGTAGGAAAACTAGACTTTATCTTTCAATTGTCATTATATTTTTAGTTAGTTATTGTTATTCACCTGCTTTTTATCGTATGATTAATTGGTTGGTTGACGTACTGTTGACAGTTTGGATCACCTACTCATTTCCACAACATGCGAATTTTAGTAATCGTTGAATTTATAGAACTCACGTGTGGCAGATTGAAGTGGATTTGTGTCGTCGATAACACGCGGTGTCTATGTAAGCACGTATTTGATAAAACATTTTCCCATCGATTCGCCAAAACGTCGAGTCAGTAGATGATTTTCGTAGTTTGCGTAGGACTGTCCTTAATTTATTCTAATAATGTAATGGATGAAAGTAGCATACTTTATTTATTTTTGAACAATAAACAACCAGCTATTACTAATTAATTAAGTTTACAGAATAGTAAGAAAGTTGTCACACCCGGGGGTACGCACGAGGTTAGCTACCTCCCTCCCTGCACCTCTGTGGCTCTTATTCTTCGTCGACCGGTTTGTTAGATACGAGGCTTGCCTTTGAAGTTTTTACAAAAAGTGAAACAGAAAGTGTATTGCTGATTTTGGAAATATTCGTCCTTAAGGTCTATACATTTTTGCACATTCTCAAACCAATTCTGGAAACATTTTTTCCACTCTGAAGCTAACGTAGAAACAGATTCTTGAGGTGATGGAAATCGCTGTCCGTGCTTCTTTTGTAACACAAATAGTCATTGGGTGATACATCAGATTGTCGTGATCAACAATGTTGTGACGTTTTTTGTTCTTTTTTCTTATTTCATGGTTTCTATTGAAGTCTGTGATATCCTAAAAGACGCTTCTCTGTCTGCAAGTGACATGCCGCTCTTCTCGATGTTTCTCGTCATGATAACTGATTTTGAAAATGCGAAAACCAATTGTAAGCAGTCTTTTCTGATAGTGCTTTATTAACAAAAGTTGCACGAAACGATTCTATGAATTGTTGTTAAGGCCTATTTCAAAATCATAAAAAATCAAGAAATTAGCCTTCACGGGTGTTTTCCATTTTTGCACAAACTTATTTCTTTTAAATGTTTACTATCAACAACTTACTCAATCAATTTCAAAATTGCCACTGGCTTCCCAATGGCTGCTGGTGTATTTCCAGGAATATGGAAGCTATCCGGTTTATGAAACGGTTCAAAAAATTAGTAAACTTTGTGTATGCTAAAATACTGCTGTTGTTTATAAATAATTATTTAATTTGGTAAAGAGGCACCTGAAAATTTTCAACATTTAATACCTTCCGACTGCCTAACGTTATGAGAAGATATTCAGCGTTTTGGATCCTAATGCAAAAATAATGGCATTTATATAAACATCGAAAAATGCAGGGTTATATCTTTTACTAGAAATTGGGTTCCTATTCAATTTAACTACTCTGTCAATAGTAGCACTCTGAAAAGAGTAATAGGAATGAGGGATCTAGGACTTGATATTAGAGGTTAAGCTACTATTTCAATTTCAGATCAATACTTTCATATCCTGTGATCAACAGGGCTCGCGCTTATCTTACCCTATATCACGCTTATGTTGATAGTAGAATAAACTTTGCTTCTGTCATTTGGAACCCTAAGTAAAATGCAAACAAAAATGTGATATGATTCCTCAAAGAAAACAATAACCATTAGACTATTGGATCAACATTCGCTATCTGATTCGTAATCTCCCCTTGCTTTTACTTATTTAAAGTATAGCACATAAGAAATAAATAAGTCAGAACGTTTTTTTTTCTTTTTTTCTTTTTTTCTTTTGCATTCTCTATGATAAAATAGGCAGATTTGATGCGCTTTTCAACTTGAAATATTAGTTATAATGTTACTTTCATTTTCTATGCTGGACTCAATTCGTCGCATTTATTTATTTTCTTTTACTCTTTCACATTTTTCTTTTGGATTGTTATTGTTATTAACTGAGATTTGCATAATATATACTTACATTTTGAGTCTTAAGAGAGCACTGTTGTGGGTTTAACCTGTTGTCACAAAGAGTAAATAAATAAATAAATAAATACAGTGGTGCCACAACCCATTAACACTACCGATTGTTCTAGTGTAAAAACTTAAAAGTCAAGCCTCCATATCTGTTAAATCTTGGATGCGCCCAAATAATGTGTGTTTCGCAGAGCGATATATTATATACCCAACCTGCGTTCGTTAGTCATTGCATTTAAGAACATAACCTTATAACCTTGTATCCGATTACAATTCAAGTGAGAGTGGAATAAAAATGGTTTACTAATATTCATTTCCTATTTAGGCAAACGTTAATTAAGTACTCCTGTCAAGGATTAGTTTAAGATCGCTGAACCTTCAAATAACAATATGTTTCAAACATCTGAAGTTAAAGAAGCACTTTGTGTACTTGGTGGAAATAGATTGGAGGAGAGTGAGGAAACTTATGTAAACTTTTTTTACTATTTGATTAACACCGACAATTATTCATGTTCTCACAGCATATATGTTAATTCCCTGTGGGTTTCATTAAAAATTGAAAATGTCGTTCAGCTTAACAAAAATATCAGAGTTGTGAGCCAATGGAGTTTTTGTATTTTTAATGGCTTTTGGAGGCCCTTTACTAATCTCTCTCTCACTCTCTCTCACAACCTTTTGAAAGGGAGGTAGGACTTTTGATTGAATGGTACATTTTTCCGAGTTTTCAGCGATGTTTTCAAAGTACTTTAAAACTGATTAAAACTGACTGTCGATAGTCCTCTTTGCCTTTATGCCAGTAATGCTAATAGGGTTGCTATCTACACTGCTATCATGATAGACAAAAAGTCCCATCTTTAGCAGGTGTGACCTTACAGACATGAAACTGAAACTTAAAAAATGACAAAGGAGTTTGAATAAGCTGGATCATTTAGAGACAGCCTACTATGCAGGGCTGGGAGTCCAAAGAAAAGTGAGCCAAGTCAGCAACAGAGATTACTTGCCAATGTTGTAAATTAGCAAAAGTTGTATAACCAATTGCGATTGAGTGAAGTACTGTTAGTCGATCCAACTTAATTATTTTTATACGTAATTGACGCACTATTCAATTAAAAAGATCAAGAAGTTAGTCTTAATCTAAAAATTGATAATTCCAAACTAAACAGTCACTTTGTCACTCTTATTTAGCCTTTTTTTTGGCGATTCATTCAAAACTAGCAAAGAGCTGTAAAGTTGTGTTCCCAAGATATTTATATAAAGAAAAGTAAATGATTTTACCTCGGTGACTAAATCGCTCACATAATGCAAATTGGTTTCATCATCCCCGCACTCGTGCGAATTCAAATTTTCGCAAGCTTTTCGTATTTTATACGGATGTAACTTTTCCGATGAGATTTATTTGCTATTATCCTAGGTCAAGCATTGTAGAGAATTCTCGATAACAATAGTAGGGGAGTTGGTTGTATACTTACACTAAATTCAAAAATGAAAATTATTTACGTGTTGATGCAGAATTTATGACGTGCTTCCTTGTTTTAATGTTAACATTAATAAATTAAGTAGTAATTAACCTTAATAGGCTGCGGAATTTGAAACAGTTTGGATTTCAAATACAAATAATTTCTATATTACTAATGTTCTAATTCTTCTTATTTTCTATTATTTATTTGTTAAATGAAATTAGAAAAGTGGTGATTTATATTTATAGTACAAGATGATTTTAAGAGTTGTACATAAATTCCTCCAAGATACTGCAAAACAAATGTGATCAGAAAATGTAGAACGCTAAAACTAGAATACTGACATGTTTAATGATATTTGTTCATTTCATTCATTTAGGATATTGTTTTGCGGTTATTAATTTGATCCTTATCGGCTCATGCGTCTAATAAAAGTTTATTTCATATTGATTAATCACCTAGAAATTAATAAAATAGAAGCGTTTTACTCGATTTATTAACATCGTATTATTTGGAAAATAGAATCATTATTTATTTACTGGCTAAAACAATAACCCGCTAATTTAGAGGAATGATTAAATTTTAAAGATTTATTTAGTTATTGATCGCTATTGTGAATACGTTTTTCGATTTTTTGTCAATAGACTTTGGTGATCAGCATACGTTAATATGCCAACGTGCCGAGCCAGAAGGCAAGAGCATCAATGTAATGCGAAGCGCGCTTCGTTTGATATCGAGTTTAATCGCATAGCAGCCCACCAATTTTAAACGGTTAATTTTTATTTTATAGCGAAGACGACAAAATCCGTTGGATTTTTGCCGATACAGCAAGCCTATATTTGCTCTTGAAATCGAGATTAATAAGCAACTTATATTTTTTGTGAATAATTATTGATACTTATTTCAGGCCGTTTGACTTTAAAATAGAGATTGAAAGGTAAGTTTATTGCTTTAATTTGATATTTGTAGGTTATGTTATGATGTCTTGTAATAATTTAATTTTTAATTTTTTAGAAATAACTTGACTTGCCAATTTTGTGAGATGGAATTTTCAAGTACATCGACCAAAAACCGACATATACGGGCAAAACACTCTGGCCAAGAGGGATCTGGATCTGAAAGAATGCATCATATTTTGTGCCCAAGATGTACGGACAGGACTATTTCTTTTTTACTTCATACAGACTTAATTAAACATTTAAATTCTTTTAATAGCTTAACTATTAATGAATCTACTTTGCATTTTAGGAATTTTTAAGAGTTTTCAGCTTAGAGGACCCAAGAGAATAGGGAAGTAAATTATGCTTGCCGTACACGAAAAAAATATCAACACGGTGAAGAAAAAATATTTTATGAGTGTAACAGAGGTTGTGTGTTTACTAATATGTGAGTAGGCATATAATGTCTCATATTTTTTAGGGATTTGTCAGCTCAGCTAAAAAACGAAGTGTGAAAACTGGAGGTAGTATTCATATTCATGGGACATATCCTTCAAGAATTGTAGTTAGCATTTCAACTGAGGGTAAATAATATTATAATATTATTGTTATCTACAGATTGACTATGTTTTTTTAGGATTTGTGACGGTAAAGTTTGTCGAAAAACATGTAGGACACAATGATGAACTAAGGACCAAAAGCTGAACAGGAGACTATGGTCGAAAAACTAAGTGCATATGATGTTACCCATTTTATTCAGGAAACGAAGCAAGATCTCCATGTAGACACTATTGCATTTGAAGATAGGCAACAGGTTTGATAGAATTAAGCCTACAATTATTACGCGTTTAATTTTCGATTTGTGTTACAGGTCATTTTGCAAGAAATGCTTTGCTTTGCTCGCAGCTTGGACGAAGAATCTTTTGGGAAATTTGTTGATATTTTTAGGACATTTAAGAGGGATACAGAACAACGAAATTCCGAGGAAATTCGAAAAAAAGAAAAATTGACAAGCACACATATTATCCTAATAAAAAGTAATATAACTATTTATAAACCTTTCATTTTCATATAATATTTTATTTTTTAGATAATTGCATACTTTAATCAGTGTTTTATTTATTGCATAGTTTTTAATTAATAAATAATAATTGAATGATATGAAATGTAAATAAATTTTATTGTCATATTTTATAAGTCAATTTACCCTCAAAATACAATACATAAATAACTAAAAAAAATAAAAGCAGTATAAATACATTGTCAATTTTATTTTATAATCTTTAAATAGAATTAACACATTAACCAAAGTTTACTTGGTCAATGATTCACAACAAATATCTAAGCGATCATACTTATGCGACATGCGTTCTCCAATCTGTCAAGAAAGTAAACACCTCCGATTCGGTTTAAATTTGGCGCCGCGTTCTGATTGGCTCGACACGTTGGAATATTAATGTATGCTTTGCTGATCTGCAGATGATTTTCTCTACTCCTGTCGTACCTAATCACACACAAATGTACCCAAAAATTAACGGTCGTAAAAAAAGTATAGTATGCAACACAAGGAAGCATATTCGAGTTTTCCAATGCAACAACATAAAAACAAAATCTTAAGAAGTATCCATTTCCAACAACGACTAAAATAATGATACATATTTAAAGAAATTTACATCTATAGAGGCCACGAAAATCATCATGAGGGTATGTCCAGAAAATTCCAGAAATTACGCTCGGTCAAATAAAAGGAGTTCAAAATATATTCTTGCGAGCGAGCCAAATAGGCTGAGCTCCAAAATCTCGGGCGTACCCAGGAATCGCGGCTTTTCAGGAAGACGGCTTGAATGTTCCACCCCTATCGTTAGAGGGCTCTGCAGAGTGTTTCAGAATTTTTTTATAGCATAATATTGTCATTTGAAAGACAGTGCGCTGCAAAGCACCACTCATTGCACAACCGGTCCAAAAGAGAAGCTGGAGCGCGCAAATTTAAATAATCGACAGATGTAAATAGAGACTTTATATAACTAATTGGTAGTGTGTAAAGTAGTGTGCAAATACTTAGTGATCTTATTATTTTACACAAAATAAATTTTTGAAGTCTTAACAATTTTTACTAATTTAAAAACGCAATATATGTATTTATCACAACTGTCAAAAATGTAAAATCTGATTTTAATAAATTTTGAAACGTGAAAAAATTAGATACTTATTGCTAGTTCAAATATTCATTAGGTAATTGGCGTTCATGAATTTAAGCTTGATCTATTATCGAACATTTAAAGAAAACAATTGAAGGATAACACATATCCAACGACGTAATTTTACCACTATTAGACAAATTGCAAAGTTTTGATTAGGTTATCACCCGTGGCACTATTGTACTGGAAAGGCCCTGTACTTTTACCGTTTCTGACATTCCTAAGCTGTGCATCCTTATCTTCAAAGTCTCATGTGCTAAGACACCTCATAAAAATGTCTATTCTAGATAATACAAATTATTTTATGTTTTAGATTCCATATATATAAATATAAAAAAAACCATAACCAACTAAACATATAATATTGTAACGGATATTTCTTTTTCTTGGTCCTATAATATTATAAACGATGTAATTTCAGGTCTTAAGGTCAAAGACTGAATACCATTTCGTGAATAATGCCCTACCCCCCGCCAAATCCAAGAGGAGTATTGTTCACGCGAGAAAATTAAAATCAGATCCGCTGGTAAGTACAAAGTGATAATTCAATACTTATGAAACAGTAAATCATTTATAGGTCTATTCGGTTGCTTTTCGATACTTGGCGTGAATGTTGTATTAATAATTCGATCCTATGTTTTAAAATGCATGTGAGTTTTATTATCCCTTTTCACACGCTATATCATCAAATATTTATAGTCAATTAAATATTAAAAGGTATTTACTTTTCAGTGCTAACGTAGAACATAGAATTTTATGACTGGATTCGACTGCAAAATCTTAACATAAAAACAATACATACGGTGTGGGGAATATTTGACATTCACAGTTATAATGCTAGGAAAAATAATGAAGTTTTATAAAAATCACCTCATTATTCGGACTGTAATATCTTGCCCAGAGAAGTAAAACAAGTCGCAAGGTTAGGTGATTTTTACGCGATTAGACTGTTCCTAAAGATTTGAAAGTACTGAGAAAGCTCTGTTTCTGTAATACGTAACCATTTACGAGGAGAAATAACATCTCATCTCAGAACCTGTAAAAAATATCAGAACTTGTGACAAATGTGGTTTGGATTAGCTTATACTTTTAAAACACTTTATGATTTAACATGTTTGTATAATTTCGTGGACAAGTAACAACTTCCTTATGTTAACTAGAATATCCTGCATATTAAGGAATTTTTAGAATTCTACGGAACTTTCTAAATATACAGGGTGTTTGGTACCTTAGAGGTTTGGTTAGTTCCATAAGCGGGATACTCTATCTATGTAAAATATTTTTAACGCTGTGACATTGTCGACATTTCGTCGAAAAAAGAGCATCAACATTGAAATTTTAAATAGGACACCCCATATATTATTAAGGATTAAACGATTCACCTGTAAGGATGTTCAATTCAAATTATACTTCAATTGGTCACATCCGAATATATCACTCTGTAGTTATACATCTCACGCACGTTCAAAAGAAAGGCAACGTTGCCTTCTTCCACCTCGGATACTCTGTCTTCATTATACTTTGCTATCTATACAGATCGCCTGGGCTGGAATACTTAGGTAAAGTCTGTTCATAGATATAAGAAAGTGACTAACTGATACGAATTTTGGAAAGACCCGGACAAGCTGTAAGAATGAAATATGGCCGAACAGGTCCGTACTTTGCTTAGAATTTAATCATTTGGGGTTTTGTTAGGAAAGATACTAAGCAATATTTATTTAATTATGTATTTATTTATGTTTAAATCTAAAATAAAATTACAAATTATTTTTATTACCTACTTAAACTACTTAAAATTATTCACATAATATATCAGTATCACTATCGCTTTCATCGCCTGTTCTAATTATTATTTGTTCTATATTATTTGCAATATGAATATACGGTTGTTCTGCTTTTTCTATATGTTTAACAGAATTTGCCCAACTTTGTGGAGGGATGTTAAAAACTTCGGTTTCTATAAGTTTGAGGACATTGGAGTTAACACGGGGAAAAACATTGTTACGACGAATTGCAGATTAAATATACAGTGGCAAGGTGGAAGCCTTAAAACTGTATGCCCTAGATTTTTTGTATAATTATCACAGACGTAGTTGTTTTGTAAGTTCAAGCTTTGTAGAACCTCAATTAATTGCTTTTTAGAATTATCTTCTTGAAAATAAATGTCGTTATTATACATGCAGTTTTGGATTGTTGCTTTTGTGTCACACGAGGAAGGGGTGTTAGTCAACTGTCTACTGTGATAATTTGCATTGTCCATTACAATGACGCTATTAGGAGTAATGTTTGGAACTTCATGGTAATCCAGAGAAGAATCTTTAATATTTTTCGCAGACAGAGAAAGTTCATTTGGAATCCAACCATCTTTAGAGCCAGCATGCAAAATATTTATTCCTCTACTTCTTTTGATGGCGCGTTTGTTTAACACTTATCAGTTGAGTCAACCCAACCCTTTTCCGGGGTATCATAAGTGTCGAACCAGGGTTCATCCAAGTAATTCCTAATCCATTAAAACTTGCCTTTTGTCAATTCTTTTAAATCTAAAACCCATGTGTTGAATACACTTCCATAAGGTAGTTCCGCCACATTTAACACCGGTTTCATTTTTTTCAAGCCTCCTAATTAAGATATCTAATGTAGGCACGCTTTGTTCCTCGTATAACTGGTAAATTTTACGCAGTATCATATCTTGATCACTTTCATTTACACTCGAGAAAATGTCAGCATCGCTTTTTTTCCTCGCTGAAATGGGATTATTCACAATTTTCCATACAGTTGATGTTGGAATTTTCGTCAATATGGCCGTTTCTTCTAAAGCTGCTTGCTTGCTGGCACCACGTTTAATAAGAGTCAAATAAACATTGTTTATAACTTAATTAGTCTGATTAGAATAGTGTTTTCTACATTTGGGCGGGAGCATCTCCTGAGATACACTAGACACATGATTACTAATAAACGGAATAATAAATGGAAACTAAGTACACCAAACCAAAGAATATTAAACACAGGTAGGTATAAAATTATTTTCTATTACGGACCACAATTTTACCTGAATTTAAATTCCGAAACTTTAGGTAATAATCTTGTTGCATGGTATGATAATGACCACCCTTGGATAATTCCATTCAAAAGCAATTGGTCACTTTCTTATATCTATGAACAGACCATACTTTTATTATGTCTGTCGGATAATTTGGATTGAACTTCCTTACGGGTAAGTCATTTAATCCGTAATTATACTTCGATTGGTCACATCACTCTGTAAATGTTGAAAGTATATGGGCAATCTGTGGTGTGAGGCTTGTAGATAAATCGATGTCAGATCAGTTTTATTTATTTTTACAAAGGGTGTTAAATAACAAATCTAATTAATTTTAATTAATAAATATAATGATATACGAGTTTGATATATAGAACAAAATTATACAACACTGAATGAATAACATAAGATAACACAATATTACAATATACAATTATAACACAAAATGGTATTCGCTAAGATTTATATTTAAGGATGTTTTCTAGATAAGTATTGAGAGTTTCAGGGCAAGAAGGCCTATTGTAAAATTTTTGAAATGTGTTTGCCTTGTCAGACCACACTGCTGTCTGCATTACTGTTTCAATAGCTATACGCGATCTGGTCGCAGCAGAGGATGCGGCATGTCTTGTACTATTGCTTTTATATTTGTTAATGTCGACACCTGCCTTGCTAAATCCTTTCTTAATCCAGTGGCAAATTGTTTGAGATGTAGTTTTGTTATGAGATTTGTTTTTGGTAAATTGAGGTAAATTGTCTTCATCTTTCAGTAGCGCTGAAGTGTTTTTAATATAATGAATTAACACAGAAGACGTGCAAATTTCGGGTTGGTCTTTAAAAAATCTAAATCTAAAACAAGCCTCAGGTTTATTTGGCTTCAACGTTTTTAAACTAGGAGTAACAATTATTTGAAAGTATTCTGAATATACTTGAGTGTTACTAATATTGATTTGGGCAAAAATCTGCTCTTTGAGCAGATAACAACGCAAGTAATAATACGAGCTTTATCGTCAGGTTTTGTAGCTGTAAGCTCTCTAAGGGGTGAAGATTACTTATCATCATTAATACTGGTTCAGGATTGGATATTTCATTCGACCTGGGAAATGAAAGGCGCAGCTCAAAAAATGCTTTTCACAAATCTCTCTAGAACGCAATTGGAAGTGAGTAGATGTTTAAATCCTTTTTTGTAAGAAATCCAGGACAGTGTTTCTATCTGGGTGGAAACGTTACTTAAGTTGCCGTATCAAAATGTCCACCATCTTGGTGCTATTGTATTGCTTGAGTGCGTTGTTGCTGATAGAGGCCAGCATTGTTTCGATTATCTCCTTTCCCAAGTTTCTCCTTGATAAAATCGCTGTCTCCAGGGTAAGTTGCTGCCACAACGGATGAATAGTTCTAAAAAGTGATAAAAGAAGATTTTCTTCGGGTTTGAAATTGAATTAGCAATTCTAACGATATCATAATTTCCATTGTTGGAAAACACGGGTAAGATTTTCAAAAAGAAAATACATTTTGCAGTATCGGTTCGAATTTTATATAATATCTGCAATAACCGTGCAAAGAGAGCGTTAGGCCTGTGTCAGCCAGGATACAAAATTTTGGTATTATTTATTTACATGGGTTGCAAAAAGATCTATCCCCGACTGTCTAAATTTTCTGACAATTTTACAGAAAATTTTCTCCTTTAACCGGTATTCTATTTCGATGTTGCTATTTCTACAGTTTTGGTTAGTTTAGTTTTTGTCAGCATTAATGTTATTTATGAAATTTATGAAGGTAGCATATATGTATATATTTCGTTGTTCCCACTATTGCCAGATTTTTCGCGCAGAGTAAGATGTGGGTATTTGACCGTTCCCATTTTATTCATGTGATATATGGCGGTTTTATTATCTACTTGTTGTAACCCAAATAATATAATTCCAGAATATTGGTTTGGTCCCAGAAACCTCTGACAACAATTTGGTTGTTACAGTAGACACCCCAACCGGATTTTGAGGCACCCGTAAAAATTGTGAGAAATTTAATATCCTGTTCCGCCCATCAATGTTCAGAAGTCACCAAGTATAGTCTTCTTCGAGGTTCACTCTCGATGAGAAACTTAACCCTTTCAAACTTTTTTGTGGATAGCCAGCTATATTTCATTGCTGGACATACTGAAATTAAAGTTCTTATAAATTGTGAAAACTCCCTTAATTTAATTCTTTGTTTTTTAGAAAATGTTATTACTAGTTTTTTAATTTTATGTTTCTTTTCATCTAGAGACTGTATCTTCATTGTTACAGTATTTAAAACAAACCCTAAGAAAATAGTTGGAGTTGGCTTAAGAATACTTTTTTTTCAATTGATAAGAAATCCTAGTGGTGTTAGAATCTAGCAGGTTTTTTTAATGTTATTCTCGCAATCGGCTTTTTCTTTACCTATTAGTAAAAAAATATCTAAATAATTTACGAGAAACCATACGGAGCCGTACAAAACCCAAAAGGGAGAGTCTTGAATTCGTAAAATGTTCCCATAAGCTTAAAGCTCAAATATTTTCTGTATTTACCATTTACTGGAAGTACAAAATAAGCATCCTTTAGATCGACGGATGCAAAATACGAATTCTTTGAGATTTGTTTAGTGGTTTAAGATTTAGTACAAACCTGCATTCCCCATTTTGTCTCGGTTTACAATTGGATTGGATTGACCACTGGTCAAAACACATTTTTTTTCTACCGGCATACATATCTATATTGCTAACCTCGATTATTGCCTTCTCCAGTTCGTTCGCCCTTTCATGTTACTGTTGCTGTTCCCTTTGTCGCATTTCTTGAACTTGTGATATTTGGTCTCCTCTGACTTCCTATCTGCTTTCTTGAATGGCTTCCATCTTGTTCTCGAGACATTCACCCTGTTTTTTGTTTGTTGATTTGAGGGGCCTGCTTGAATCTGTTTTGCCGCATTTTCTAGATTCTTAGCACATTTTTTCGCAGAAATGTTCCCCAAACAGCATATTGTCAGTTGTCTGATTCAACGCCACTTTTTGAATTTTTGTATCAAAATGTGAGCACGATAAAAATTTTCGATGATTTGAGATTGCATACTGAACCTGACAGAATAACTAGTCTCTTGATGCATGGATGTTGTTCACTTTCCTGTGTTTTCGACGTTAATTTGTTATTAATCTCGCCTAAGGCTGACATAGCCTTTCCAAGCGCTGTTTGTAACTCTTGCAGGAATCCATCCTTTTTTATTTCAGCTGTGGGAAACATTACCTGCACTGCACTTCCCGGTTTAATTTCGGACCTTGCAAAAAAGTGCAATTGCCTGGGATTTGGCAATTTTCCTCTGGGTTTCTTTGTCTAGACCTTGAGATAGATACACAGTCCACCTCACCGCGAGGTCTTCGCATAAATCTGGCACTAAGGATTTTGCCTCTAGTGGGTATGCTCCAAAAACCTCTTTTGCATCCCTTCCAGAAGGACGATACTGTTGTTGCGATTCATCACCATTATTGGTGCTTGATCATTCTGTCTCGGTATCTGTAGTAGATATTGATTCAGAATCTGAATTCGTGCCTGAAAATTGTATGAAAACTATAGCATACAGATACCCACAACGGAAAACAAACGTGACTCATATCAACGCATCGTGTTAGTTTCGTCAGTTTTTAACTTCCAAATTCATCGCTGGTACGATTACACCACCTATTGGCTATGTTTTTCGTACGAAAAATCCGAATGGATTTTTAAAGAATAGTTTTTGTAGGAAATATGTAACCATTAAGTTTGGTTATTCGATGTTTTGTGACTCATGTACATGTATATAATACGGCATAATATACGAAAGATTTTTTATGAGACCCGCCGGTGTGCACCAGTCAGTAACTGTGGTGGGTTAAAAGAATTCGCAAAGTGAAAACCCAAGCCAGAAAATATTAGACATCATCATAATATTTGTCTCATTTACCTATGATTCATACACGTATATAATACGACACAATATTACGTTATTATCTTTTTTAGAAGCCATTCCGGTGTGTACAAGTCAGTAACTGTGCTAGGTTGAAATGATTCACAAAGTGAAAAACCCAAACCAGAAAATATTATACATTGTCTGTGGATATTTGTCTCATCTACTGCAGACGTTTCTCTGAAATACAAAATTTCTACTTGGCGATGGGGTACTTACTTCATTCGTATTTCCTGAGGCATTCCTGAATTTTCTTTCTTCCTTTTATTCGCTTTCCTTACCATGGTCTTATTTTCCACTATACCACGAGCGGACGGATTTTGCTTTGCGTAGCCGAACCTGTCGCTCGAGACGCACAAAGTATATTCGGATGTGACCAATCGACCATCATGATTGTTTTTGAATAATACTTTTCCTTAGTAGTTTCCGAGAAATTTATTACTTTTTTATTTTTCAACCACAACATAGCTTCAATTAATTTTTTATTACCACCACACTGGAGTCCGTACAAAGTTAAAATGTTCGACGTAGCTTAAGGAGGTACTATACATTATTTCTTTATATCGATATTAGTTCCATATCATGCAGGGTTGGTCAAAACTAATGAAATTCCTACGAGATTCAAAAATGGTGAAAAGTGCATTTTTTAAATAGAACACTCTATATATTATCACATAATCTAAAAGCAAATTAAATTCCCTTTCGAATAATGTATTACTTGGTTTCTGAAATAAAAGCAAGTCTCTCTGATTATTTTGGCATAATTCACCTTTTAGGTGGCCATGAAATATCCATCTTATGTTAAATAATTCATTTTCCGTTTAACAGTTCAATAAAGATTTAATCATAATTGATTGTTGTGCAAATTTTATAGATAAAATCAATTCAAAGTGGAAAGAAACTAGTGCTGTTTGAATGAATTTGGTTAGTAGCCAATGTAACCACATTATAGCCAGAACATGTAGAAAATTTAATGAAACGAATCACACATTACAACAAGAGAAAATTTGACAGAATTAGAAAAAGCTTTACAAACCATTTTGCGAAATACATCTTAAAAAATATTTACACTAAGAGAATATTAAGTACTTCAAATAAAAATTGCACGCAGAAAAATGAATCCAATTTTCACATTAGGTATTCGAAGTGTTCATCATTGCATTCTCAACACTTTAAAATCCGGACTGAAGGTAGTAGCCTTCTTTATCTCCGATGACGTAACTCTTCCTTGCTCTGCACTGGTGTCAAATAGACGTGTGACTTTAACGCACCCCATAAGTAAAATTCTAATAGCATAAGGTAGAGCTATCTAGCTGGTCAATCCCACATCGAATTCAAACGTCGAAACCAATTAAAAATTCATATTATTCTTGTGACACCTCTTCAGTGCAGTGAGCCAATGCCCCATCTACTTGATACCAAGAAGTCTGAAGTTCTAGAGAATCATTTACCGTTCTTCTTAATATAATATACTATAGTACTAAATATAATATAATAACACAAAAAGTGTTCATTCCTTCAATTGAAAATAGCTTGTTCAGAAAATTTTAATTCGTAGGTCCAAATAATTTTTGACAAAAATAAAGAGTCCTGAATTGCAGACCAACAATATGTCACAAAAAGGCACTCTCTTAGCATAATCATCAACATTCAGGGCTCGAAATTTTGTAAATTTGTTAAAAAGGGATATTTTTTTTGGTAAAGATGGAAATACCCTTAGTGTCGAACCGTAGTTTGCAAAGTTTTTCTTAATTCATGCAATTTTTTTTTGTTGATGTGTTTACAGGATACGTTTGGTTACATTGTCCATGTATAAGAGAAAAATTTCCATTTTGAACGATGTATCTGGTAGGCAAATGAGTTTTGACTAACCCTGCATAATATAGAACTAATTTCGATAATAAGAAATAATGTACAGTACCTTCATAAGTTGCATTCTAAATTTTCAATTTCTATAATGTCGTAGTAATAAAAATGTAATTGAAGCCTTGTTTAGGTTGGAAAAATGAAAAAAAAATATTTTCTAGGAATATATTATTCAAAAACATAAGGTATTAGAGGATCGAAAAATGCAATAATATACATTTAAAATTGTGAAGCAGCAGCAACTTATAGCGTTAAAAATATAGAGTAGCCAAAAATTAAAATTAAAAATTTGAGAAACCATCCTAACAATCAAAAATTTAACATGAACAAATTCTAATACTTCTTGGAGCAATCTGTGCTTATCAATCTGGCCTCATCCTTGCCCGTGGTTTTTCCTACAACAAGAGCAATATAACAAGAAAGTAACCAAACTGACTTTCAAGTTCGTTTTGTTTTGCTATTTTATAACCCACCGTTGTACTGTGAAATTTGTGAGAAGCAATAGAAAATATATAGACTCGGTTGTTTTCTTTCCTAAATTTCTTTCTGCTGACTGGGAATGTGAGGAGTTTATTTCGATTTTTCCACTGCTCGAAAGTCTGCTGAATTCTTCGGTCTTTTTTTTTTCCAAGCGGAAACACCCCATTTTTATCATAATTGACACTTTGAAAAGGTGTTCTATTTCAAAAAGTTGTATATTTCTGAAACATTTATAAATTTTTAATTAAGTTTAATGAATCGAACAAACTTTATCAAAAACATTTAGACAAAGAATTTTTTTACTTATATTTAATTATAAATAATTATTTAATCTATTTTTCTGAATGTTGCAAATAATGAATTACCTTTTTTAGTGTTACCTTTTTTTTATTGAAAAACGCTTTATACACTTAAAATATGACTTTATTTGACAACCTTATGCAAAGTCACACTTTTTGGGGTGTTTCCATTTGAAAAAAGGAGCTATTAACGATTTTTAAATACCAACCCCAAATATATATAACAAAGGCTTTCAGTCGAAGAAATCGATAGATATATTTAGACTTTCAAACATCATATAAAATTAAAAATATGTGAGAAACACTAAGAATTAAAAAATATTTTAAATATTAATACTAAAATAAAAAAGTTTGTACACGAAAATACAAACAATATCTGTAATAATATAATAATATTGTGGCATAATATTGTGGCATTTCTTCTATGTGTTCTTTTCTGACTTGTTCCTTGCTACCTTAGAATTCTTCGAAAAAAGTAAAGAATCTGATTTGATTTGAGTAATCTAATCCTAAAAATCTAAAACACTGGGTAACACAAAAAAATGGGTACACTTTATTACTCAAACGGTTTGAGATAGTAATTTGATGTTTCGAGTAAATTTCCAATTTACAACCATATGCAACGGATGGTTTCAAAACCAGAATAAAAAACTTTAACCTTGTATTTTTTACATTTTTAAATTCAGTAGTTTTGTCGCGTGCCGATTTGAAAATTAATGCTTTTATTACATTATTATTCTTTTATTATTGTTTGTTGCTATATTCAGATCCATACTGCCGTACAACAACCCGGGTTCATCAGAGTCAAGCGGGGTTATAAGCCATTAAAAGTTGAAAACCTGGTGAAAGATATTCAGCCTCACAGCGACCCATCCGATCCATACTTTCCCTTTCAATGGTATCTGAAAAACACGGGACAAAATGGCGGGAAAGCCAAACTAGACTTGAACGTCGAAGCCGCCTGGGCCCAAGGGGTCACGGGCAAAAATATTACTACTGCGATTATGGATGACGGTAAGTTAACAATTGGATAAATACAACCTTTGCTGCCAATACAGTTTCTCGTTTTTTAATTAATTATATAAGCTGGTCATGTTGTCACTTCGCCCCTGAAATGGCTATTGTTTTAACAAATTGAGTTTAAATAGATTGAGTCGCTTAGCAAAATATGCTATTTATTAAAATTTCTGTTTTTCAATATTTGAACGAGAAAACAATTTCGCAGGTATACCATGATTCTGCCAAAACGTCGTGGCATTTTCGTTGTTTCAATAATGGCACATCCACAAAATAACAGTTCCGTGAAAATCAGTGATTTAGGAAAATAAAATCTGAAATATTGAGATAACTCATATCAACTGTCCTACTTATTAAAAAAATTAGAGTGATATGTTTTTATAATTATATATTGACTTGTATTATTCTCATTTTAATACAAAAATATTTTTTGAGATGTCTTTTAAATGTTTTAAAATTTTGTGCCGTTATTGATTTTTTTTAATAAAATGCAATAAAACAGTAGATCAAAAATACGTATAAAATATAATACGGCAGATTCATCTTAAGAGATAGGTACATGGTAATAACTTAAAAAAATGTGCCTTTATAAACTTTGGCACGTAAATAATAACTATAAAAAACAAGGAAAAACTATAAAACTAAAAAACAAACCACCTATAGTTTTTGATACATGTCTAAGTAGGTATTATTTCTAAAAGAAAAGAAACAACTATCAGATCTTTTAACCCGTAAACAATAAAAAACAAAGGACCTATAGTTTTTGGTAGATAGTTACTGTTGTTAAAAAAGAAGAATTATCATGACACGTAAACAAAACCTAAGCTATTCTACAGCAGAAGCAACAACCAACTGACCTGGTTTTTGGAAACAAAAAGTACTATATTCAAAGTAACTAAAAAATCCGTGACATTTCAGCCTTTGCCACCTTTCAGGCTATTATAAAAGTGACTGTGACAATTTTTAATAGCATTTCTTTTTAGCATATCAGTCATAAGTCATTAAACTTTTTCTTTGTAATTCACATTTCCAAAAGATGTAAAAATCGCGCCTGTTCGCATTTTCCTTTGTCTAATACTTCTGCGTTCGTAGTCAATTTCACTAAAAGATGTTTTATAGAAAAACGCGTCATTTATTTTGACAATATCGCCTGAACTGTCGCAATGAAATTTAAAATAAGTTTAAACTAATAGTTTTTTAATATCAATAAAATAATCGTAACTCATTTCTATATCTATATTTTTTTCTACTTCCTTCTGTAAAATACCTAATTATACACCGATCTAGAGTGCGGGACGCGTCACTTTACCACGTGAGATTCTTGTCCCATAAACCCCAAGGTTATTTTTGGAATATTCGAGCAGTGTCATCTCGAACTGTTTGATCTAACCCCAACAATCGGAAAACGGAGAGTTCCTCTTGATATTCGCTGGTAGGGCTATATTTTTCGTCAATCTCAAATGCAGATATTAAGATTTTCAAATCTATAGAAAATTAATTAAGATAAGATCCATAAATTGAAAATGACAAAATATACCCGAATCAAAAATAAATTCTACATAGAAAGCCTCCACTAACCAAAACTATCAAATCAGAAAACGAAACGCCATTGTTTCAAATTATCGAGACTAGACAGCAAACGGATGCGGATAGAAATTGATAGCAAACAGGAAGATCTAGTTCCCAATTAAACTTTATAAAGCATCGCTTCGCGAGCAACATGATACAAATGCGATCGATTTGATTACCTGTTTCAGGATGCTTTTCACAGCATTTTCTTAATTTTTGGTGATGCCATTTTATGGTCTTATACCGTATATCAGGAACCACATACTTTTATTTTATTACATTTTCGCATGCACTAAATATTACATACAAATCCCAATAGTGCGTCGACAATTGATAACTTTGACACGGTTGGTGAAAAAATAATAAACAAAAAAGTTACACAGATGCTTGAGACGCAAACCTAAGATTATTTTTATGTATACAGGATGTCCCATAAATGTGTAAGAAAGTTGACTGATTCTAAACACAATTTGTATTATATTGGTTACGGATAGACTAATATATATTTTTTTAATATTTTCAGCTTTGCAAATAATGTTTGAATTATATGATATTTTGAAATATATTAAGCGATATTTACTTACTACAGGATGGCTTAGTATATTGAAGATAAATGAATAAATGGGACAGCCTAAACACACACACACACATACACACACACACACACCACACACACACACCACACACACACACACACACACCACACACACACACACACCACACACACACACACCACACACACACACACCACACACACACACCACACACACACACACACACACACACACACACACACACACACACACACACACACACACACACACACCACACACACACCACACACACACCACACACACACCACACACACACACCACACACACACACACCACACACACACACACCACACACACACCACACACACACACCACACACACACACCACACACACACACACACACACACACACACACACACACACACACACACACACACACACCACACACACACCACACCACACACACACACACACACACACACACACCACACCACACACACACACCACACCACACACACACACCACACCACACACACACCACACACACACACACACACCACACACACACACACCACACATACACCACACACACACCACACACACACACCACACACACACACACCACACACACACACCACACACACACACCACACACACACACCACACACACACACACCACACACACACACACACACACACACACCACACACACACACACACCACACACACACACACACACACACACACACACACCACACACACACACACACACACCACACACACACACACCACACACACACACACCACACACACACACACCACACATACACCACACACACACCACACATACACCACACACACACCACACACACACACCACACACACACCACACACGCACACCACACACACACACAGCACACACACACACAGCACACACACACACCACACACACACCACACACACACACCACACACACACCACACATACACACCACACACACACACCACACACACACACCACACACACACCACACACACCACACACACACACACCACACACACAACACACACACACACACACACACACACACACACACCACACACACACACACCACACACACACACACAACACACACACACACACACACACACACACACACACACACACACACACACACACACACACACACACACACGACGTCCACGATGCACACACGACGTCCACGATGCACACACGACGTCCGTGATGCACTTGGGCGAGACTTCACGGCAAACCTTGAAATCAAGCGAGTCAACCTAACTAAAGTTACCCAACGAGGTCAAAGAGCGGCTATTTGCGAGATTGACGAGACCAATGAGATCAAGGCCCTCAATAAGGCTCGCATAAAGGTTGGGTGGGTAAGCTGCCGCGTACGGCATGTAGCGAAAGTGGTACGCTGTGCCAGATGTCTCAGGTATGGGCAGGCGATGCACTCCTGTAAGGGGCCAGACCGCAGCAAGTACTGCTTTAAATGCGCAGGAGAAAGTCACAGGGCAGCCGACTGCATCGAGCAACCGAAGTGCTTTCTATGTCCGAATGACGCTAAGGACAGCCTGTGTCATATTCCTGGCTTCGGAGCTTGTAAAGCGTTCCGCGCAGCTCTAGCTGAAGCGACAGGGCGCGTTATGGTTCGCAGATGAAACTGGGACAGCAGCACTATGGATCGCAAATACAAAGAACATTACCGCAATCAACAGCGGAAGTGGAGCAGGCTTTGTCTGGATTCAAACCCCTACAGCCTACTTCATGAGCGTCTACCTCTCGCCTAACGAGGGAATCAGTGTGTTCCGTCAGAAACTGGCGACCATAGAGGACGCTATCGGCAAGTTCAACGGCGGAGTCATTGTAGCTGGTGATTTCAACGCCAAATCGGCAGAATGGGGCGCAGCGTTCTCTGATACCAGAGGCAATGAAGTCGCTGATGCCGCAGCAAGACTCGACCTCATTGTACTGAATACTGGAAATACCACGACATTCCGGAGACCAGGGTACCAAGAATCCATCCTTGACATTACGTTAGCGACCCCAAGGATTGCGAACACGATTGAGGGCTGAACCGTATCCGAAGAATACAGCGGTAGTGACCATCAGTATGTGACCTTCAGTGTTGGACTTGTACCTGGCTCGGCTCCGCAGTGCACCCTATACAAAAGGAAGTGGAACGCTAGCAAGCTTGACCTCGATGATCTACGAACTTTTCTCATAAGGAGAATACCAACTCTCCAGAGAAACCCCAATCCAAGCACCCGCAAGGAGACGGAAGAAATAGTGACAAAAAAAAATGAACGTTATTCTCGGCTCATGTAACGCTTCTATGCCACGACTGAAAGTTCGGGGTGCACACAGACCGGCATACTGGTGGTCACCGGAGATAGCAGAATTACGAAGAACATGCCATGTGCTACGTCGCCGCGCAACGAGGGTTGCAAAACGTTCACCCGATCAGGAACTGTATGTGAACGAGTACAAGCACGCAAAAAAAACCTTGAATAAAACCATCAAAACAAGGAAAACGACGCTATGGAAAGACTTATGCAATGACCTCAACAATGATATCTGGGGTAAAGCCTACCAAATTGTCACTAAACGACTTGGAAAAGCTGCACCAGAAGCGCCAAAACCCCCCTCCGTAATGTATAGCATCGTGGCGGAGCTGTTTCCCAAACACCCGCCGCGGAGGAAGAGACACTATGTTAAAAGTGGAGAAACGACTCCCTTTACTACCAAAGAATTGCAAGACGCGGCAAAGACCATCAAGATAGGAAAAGCACCCGGCCTAGATGGCATTCTAGCCTTGGTGATCAAGACTGTAGCCCTGGAATACCTGGACATACTCCTGGGCACCTACAATGCATGTCTTGCAACTGGCACGTTTCCCACGGTTTGGAAGCAGCAGAGATTGGTCCTGTTGGACAAAGGAAAGGGAACCTCAACACCTTCATCGTTTAGACCACTCTGCATGCTTGACATCGCTGGGAGACTGCTGGAAAAGCTCATTCAAGGCAGGCTTCGAAACGACATTGACCGTGCTGGAGGTTTTGCTACCAACCAATACGGGTTTCGGAAAGGTAGATTGACGATCGACGCGATTCAGAAGGTGATAGAGACTGCAAGAAGAACATGGTCTGGTAGTCTCAAAACTCGCAAAGTATGTTTACTCCTAACATTTGACGTTAAAAATGCCTTTAACAGCGCGAATTGGGGAGATATTCTGGACGCCCTAGAATATAAATTTGATATAGAGCCAGAAAATCTGGAAATGGTTGACGATTACCTCGACGAAAGGACGCTAATTGTAAAATCGACGGAAGGCCCGCAGGAGCACGACATAACGGCCGGCGTGCCTCAGGGCTCAGAGTTGGGGTCCGATCTATGGGACGCAGACTATGACCAGCTCCTGAGGATCCCGATGCCGCAACAAGTGGAACGTGCGGGTTTTGCGGATGACGTTGCGGCTACAATAGAAGTGGACAGTGTCGAGGAAGCAGAATTATTACTTCGGGAGACCACTGACACAATCGAAGCCTGGCTTGAGAAACACTACCTGACACTTGCCAAGCAGAAAACAGAGATGGTTGTACTGACTCGACAAAAATGGTTCCCTAAACCATTCACCGTAAAGATGGGAGGTACAACTTTGACGTCAACGAGAGCTTTACGCTACCTAGGGGTAATGATAGACGAAAAACTATCTTACCGTGAACACATTGATAGTGCAGGCCGGAGAGCTAGCAAGACGATATCCAGCTTATCAAGGAACATGGCGAACACGATGGGACCTCGAACCAAAAAAAGACGAGTCCTCCTCGAAGTAGTTCACTCAGTACTGCTCTACGGAGCAGAGATATGGGCGGACATCCTTAAGCAGAAAACATACAGGCGCAAAATAGCAGCAGTGCAACAGAGAGGCGCTGTTAGGGTTGCCTGTGCATACCGCACCGTCTCCGAAGCGGCAATACTGGTCATTGCGGGAGCAACGCCTGTCGATCTGTTAGCGTTTGAGAGAGCCAAGCTCTATGACGCTAAAAGGAAATGCGACAACTTCAAGGAGGCAAAAACAAGGATAAAAGCGGAAACCCAGCAAGAGTGGCAGGACCGATGGACGACGGGTGAGACGGGCAGATGGACGGAGCGTCTGATTCCGAACATCAATGTCTGGCTTTCTCGGAAACACGGGGACACAGACTTCTATCTGACCCAGCTACTGACGGGACATGGACAGTTCAACGCTTATCTTTTTAAGATGGGTTTACACAACACCCTTATGTGTAAGTACTGTCCTGATAAAATTGACGACGCTGAACATACGTTCTTTGAGTGTGCTCGGTGGAAGGACTATAGAAGTAGCACCGAAGAAATCATAGGCGCCAGGTTCTCCCCCTCAAGTCTGGTGACGTCTATGATCGAACAGGAGGAAAACTGGTCGGCTGTTGCAACCTACGCCAGCGCCTTCTGAAAGATAAAATTTCAGAAAGGGACCAGTAGCCAGGAGTAGGCGCCATAGGGCGCAGCACGGACTGGATTGATGTAATGCTAAAGCGGTTCCAATCCAGTCCTCCCCCTACCATCTGCGGGGAGAGGGGAAGAGGTATGTTTTTTTAGTGGGTAAAAATCTCCACACTACCGCCTATCGATATCTGCCGCAAGATGGGTGGCAGAGTTTACGATGACGGTGTCTTTTGAAGACTTTTTTCGTGCCACTTTACAAAAAAAAAAAACACGCACACACCACACACACACACCACACACACACACCACACACACACACCACACACACACATACCACACACACCACACACACACATACCACACACACCACACACACACATACCACACACACACACACACACACCACACACACGCACACACCACACACACCACACACACACACACACACACACACACACACACACACACACACACACACACACACACACACACACACACACACACACACACACCACACACACACACCACACACACACACCACACACACACACAGGAAAAATTATTTAAACGTTTTTTAGCCAAGTTTAAAGGGATTTCCCACACCTCCACTAACATTTCTGTCAGTAATTGAAGTAACATTAACTTTTGTTGAAAGTTTTTAACAATCTGGTATACCACCTCGGTCAATTATTTATTTCCGACCCAAAAATACAAGCGAGTATTTCGTCTGAATGCGATTTACTTTTGTTAAACTGCGTCACTTGAGGGCTTTCGAAAGATGCCGAGAAGATAAATTGAATAAAGCTCGGAATTTTATTTTCTTACGCAAAATTGTTTTCGATGTCAGTTTTGTGAAAGCACGTTGATGTCACAAAAAGATATATTTTTTCTTAACCCCAACAAACTTTAACACATGCAAGAACGAATCCCAATTCAAATTCCGTTTCCATGTTATTTCCTTTATATCAGACAAGTATTCAAAAATATTCGATTGCCTGTTCGAATCTTCTATTGAAATGGTCCGACCTTAAATAACAAAAAAATGAGGGTTTTCTTTGAAAGAAGTAGACATATAGGTATATCAGCTTGACTGACCATCCTTTCCCTGAAGAAGGTTATACTTATAGAACTGTATAAGCGGATGAACGCATATAGTGAAATCTTTTTAAAAGGCCATATTTCAGGCCATATTTCTAAAACTAAAAAACGACATTTAGACCAGGATTTTGCTGTAGATATACGTTCTAGCAGAGGTATTTCTAATTTTATTCCAACTCGTTTTATTTATTTTTTTATTATATAGTGAAAAAATAAACTACTGACTCAACTTCAAAAAAGAAATTAAATTCGTGAAGGAGGATTTGTGCCGTCAATGACAAAAAATAATATTATAAGTTGTAAATTGTAAGGTTGTAAAAATTAATAATTAACACAAAGCCAACTTTTCGTTTTTTAATTTTAACTTTAGCCTTTAACTAAATCTTAAAAATAGATGGAGCCATATCATAACCAATAATAAATAATAAATTACTAAAATTTTATTGAAAATCGCATCCTGCATATATCTATCCAAAATGTATTGATAAGTTAAATTGTTGAAAACTACTTAATAACAAAAAATCCGTAAATTTAGCAACTCGCATAAGTTGGTTGTGACATTTTGTGCTGACCAAAATTTTTCAATAATTATTTTAAAGATTACGGCCGACTACGTTTAAGCAACTGTAAATATTATATTATTAACGTCTCTCAAGGTAGATTGATGCATTAAAAAAATGATACGGTATTACCTAAGCTATTTAAAAAAAAAATCTTTTCTTTATGTCATGACTCCTAAGAAATGGTGTTTGCAAACTAGACGAAATTTCCACAATCAAAAAGTAGGACATTGTCCTTTCCACTCGTGATCATAAAAAACCAAAACATCTGTCGCGTACAACCAACATTATCAAAAGCTGCCTGGAATCAATTAAAGTTTCACTAATTCATGACAAAACTTTATTTTGAGGTTGTTTGCAGAATTAATGGAAAAGTGTCGACGTTCAATTAACAAGCAAATATCTTGTCTGAAAGCATTTTCCTAACCGTTGAAAGTTATCGCACTCGAGAAGTTTTGGTAAGGTTTTAAGTAAAATATTCTGATACCTAGGCACTTAACTATAATGCATCAGTGTCGTTTCCTAAACATTCTCCTAGCACAGTTTATCAATTCGACGAATTCCAGTCTGGTCTATTAGGGGTACCTTCATATAATCCGCAGTTTTACGTGTTTATATTCTAATAAAATATTTCAACTTCGTTGTTTAATTTACACGCGCTAAAACGTCAACTCCAATTACTCTTTTTAATTAAAAACGAAATTAAAACGGTTTGTTGATAAACACTTTTTACGATTTTTTTTGCGGATTAAATTTTAATTGAAAACGTGAAATTTAGAATGACCTCAAAAAATTCCCTCGGAATAAACTGATACTATTTTAATTAATTTTGTTTCCCCTCAGCTGCAGTGTTTAATTTAGGTTTTCGAAACACACTTTTGGCAGTTTTATGTAAAAATCTAACGTGCCATAGATGGCAGATCTAGAATTAATATTTTCAAGGTCGAAATCGGAGTGTTTTAACAGGTGAAATCTATTTCTACAACAGATAGTGCAAAATCGACCTACATGTCATGGGCTCGAATTTTAGAAATATTTACTGGTAAAAAACGCGTTTTTCAATTTACAATAATTTTGACATTTGCCGATAACTCTTTTGTTTCTAAAAAAAATCTGGTTCGTATAAAAACAGAGAAACAGAAGATAACACTGCGTCGGTATGACCCTAAACAACTCCTACTAAATTGCTCCATTTTATATACTTTTACTTCTATTATTGTTTCAGGAGTTGACTACATGCATCCAGATCTGAAATATAATTATGTAAGTTTGTAAATAAATACGGGTAAGTAATAGAATTCTGTTTGATCGATGCAAAATCTGAATCGAATGTGAACAATACAGGATAGATACGATACTTCAACTCCCGTATTAAAATTTGAATCACTAAAACTAAAATGGCCTATGCAGGGCGGTGTCACATCGATATTAACAACATCAATTGCAACAGAGACAAAGCATCCAAATTATTAGGAATTATCTTGAATTACCGTATATTGCCTCTATGTCATTTCAGTTAATAATAATAAATTACGTAGTAATTAATACCTTCCTATTGATAAAATTTTTTTTCGTCAAAGGTCGAGGAGTCAAAAATGATTTTCCAATGTTACTGAAACTCCGTAAAATATTCGCTTTAGTGTATGACTAATACCTTATTTTGGATTTTACAGAATGCACAAGCGAGTTACGACTTCAGCAGTAACGATCCATATCCTTATCCAAGATACACAGACGATTGGTTTAACAGGTAAGATTTTAATACAAATATTTTTACTATTGGTTCTGCCGTTTGAATAATACTTTGGAATTGTAATACACAGTCAAAAAACAAAGAATAATTGAAAAAATAATTGGACCCAAAAAATTTACGCTTGCTCCGCTTGTTCCAAATCAAACTGGTGACTGAAAAAGTTTATCAACGTGTTCCATACTATACTTGTTGCCTCGACTATCAGAGCTGAAAGACATCCAAATAAAAAATTACAAATAGATCAAATCAATGGTTAAAATAGCAGAAACGTGGTTATTGTAGGGTAGAGAGTAAAACACATACTAATTTCTCTTTCTAATACACATAAAGTCTTTCATTTTAATTATTTTCTCTGTCTCTATTCTTTGTTACTTCGAGCCACCAATCTCGAAATTCTGCGACAGTACATAATCTGAAAGAATAATAAAAAAAAAACGATTAGCAACTATTATGTAAATTGAGTATAGCATTTAAATACTTTTCATGGCTGTAAAAAAATATTATTAACAAAGCTTGAAAAAAAAATAAATAGTTTTTTTTTATTATTATAATCGAATGATACCTATTTTCAGAATCTATTAAAATCATCAAAAGAACTTAGAGACAATAGTTGTTTGGATTCATTTATGCTTTCAAAATATCATATTATTAAGTATACAGGATTTTTGCGTATTCGTGGACAAGTCACAATTTCATTCCCATTTTGAAAAGCCAATAATCAACTAGTTAAGACAGAAGATTCCTTCCTGTCAAGCCGCCAGGCCTTCTTTGTAAATAGAACATTTTATAAGGTCATATTATATCCAGTGTTATATTAGAATTTATTATATAATATATATATATATATATATATATATATATATATATATATATATATATATATATATATATATATATATATATATATATATATATATATATATATATATATATATATATATATATATATATATATATATATATATATATATATATATATATATATATATATATATATATATATATATATATATATATATATATATATATATATATATATATATATATATATATATATATATATATATATATATATATATATATATATATATATATATATATATATATATATATATATATATATATATATATATATATATATATATATATATATATATATATATATAATTTTATTATATTTTATTATATAATTATAATTAATGCTGAGTCGAAATTGTTGGCGTCTCGCCAATCATCCTGTTGGCTTCTTCAGAGCTTGACTGAAACCGACGCAGGAGGAATCCGGAAGTTATGTAAAAAGTATTACAGTAGCCTGTGGAAGTATCTTTAAAAAATCTACTTTATTTATAGAGCAGAATCTAAAAATGAAATCTTTATATAAAAGCGGCAACACAGCATACTTGAAAATATCACTTTATCCTTTCGAACTTTTACATCCTATCTTGCGTAAAATGAAGAAACCGAACTTCACTGCGCCCAATCATTTGCCTAATTACAAAACTATTTGTAAATGCCGTCGACACACACGAACAAAGGCAGCTTTATTCTTAAGCGAAGAAAACAACTGCATTAACGTTCTATTATCAAAGATGCTTTCAACTAGATTAATGTTGTTGCAGATCGAGATACTCTATTTAGGTGGCCGTCTGTACCGAGTTTTGAAATTTGTTTTAATTGTAACGTAACTTCCTGATGTTTCATTATCCAATCATCCTGTTGGCTTCTTCAGACGTTAACTGAAACTTGTTTGCATTCTACTCTGTACCTGCTTATATATTGTTTGAAGGGTGTGGAGGGGGGCATGAATATGGTCTGGGATGACTAATTCCCATATTTTTGAAAGGTAAATTATCTGAGTCGCGGTTAAGAAATGTTAAGAGATGGATTCTAAGATTTTTTTGGTAGTAGAATTGATTACATGCAAAAATTTTTGTTTAGTCGAATCAGATTTGATGTTCGGTTTCATGATTGTCTTCGGCAACTGCTGAGTGTTGTTAGGTTCTTTCATATTCTTTTGTCTTAGTTAATATTTTTCTAGAATGTATTTCAAACGGAATTTTGTCTTAAAAGGATCGAAGAAAAAAGATTTAAATCTGGTTTTAACATTATATTTCTTAAGGTATGATAAATAAGATAAAAAATTGCGTCGATGGGTGAACGACAACAAAAAGTCATCAATTTCTTCAATATGAAAGAAGAAAGGAAAAATATAACAACATAAACACCCAATTTTCTCTCTACGCATCGCCCCCTTACGTTTTATGGTAGTGAACTTATTTGGTTTTCTAGAGTAATGTTTTTCCCAATACAATGCAATCAGTTCGAGACACCTCTCATTATCTAGATTTGCTTTTTGGTAAATATCGCGCAAAAGTCCCAATCGTCCCAATAGCGCGCAACGAAACACGCTGAAAGACGTACAGGGTGGGCACTTTCTTAGGGGCCTGTACCTTTTCTCAAACACTACTGATTTTAGAAAAAAAAAGTGTATACACAAGTTTTATGGTTTAAATTAAATTTTTAAATTATTTATTTTTTATATATACAGGGTGTCCGATAAGTGCCGGACCAACATTAGTTTTAAAATTTTAAACGGAAAGCCCTATATATTTCGATATTTTTTGACTACTAATTCCAAATTTTGTGTAGTTTAGACAGAAATTGAGAGTATATATTATTTTATGCAAAATTATGTTCTTAGTAATTATGGTCTTCCACGGCTACCAGTAATGACTACTTCATTAAATTTTAAACACATTCACAGAAACTTCCTTATAATGATCTGCGATGACTAGGTATTTTAAAATTATGCAGGGTGTCTTAAATTAAAGAACATTGTTTTAAAACTTCAATTTGCAGTATCCATTTTTTTTAATGAGACGCCCATGTTTTTGATATTTTTTCTCAAAGCTGGCCAAAACACATATAATTTGGTATATATATGTAGTATATCTAAATTTAACGGTTTTTGGAAATACTGACACCTAATGATTTTAAAGAATTTTTAAAGAGCAACTCGTTCTTATTTTTTAATTAATTTTAAGGATTATTGGAATGGGTGGTGGGTCTTTTTTGTAGGTAAGGTAGTACAGAGATTTATAGGTTTAGGAAATTAAAACGTCAACGATGTAAAATTATATGCATAATTATGATAGAAGTTTAAAAATTTAAATAAGTAACAGTATCAAGTAAAAGCAACAAACAGCAGTAACTCTAACAATTAAAGTCAAAACTAAGGTAAAACAAATTAGAAAATCTACAGTAGGTTTTCAAAATGTCCACCATTTTGAATAGTCCACATTGTATAAACAACCTCTATGTGGTTTAAGGCATTAGAAACAAAATCGGTGTTATTGAGTTGTACTACAGCTTCTCTAATACGCCTTTGTAGTTCATTTACCATAATGCATGTTTTTTTATATACGATATCGTTAATTGTCCCCCATTAAAAAATTCCAGTGGGTAAGATCTGGACTTCGACGTGGCCGCCAAATCCATTTCGTTTTATCCGAAGATAGTAATTTTGATTTAAAAATTCAGTGATATCGTTCCCCCAGTGGTACGAAGAGCCATCTTGCTGCCATATTAATTGAGCACGTTCACAAGCTGGTATTTCATTTACTATTAATGATTGTATTTCATTTGTGAGCATATTTAAATATCATCTAGAGTTTAAGTTTTCATTAAAAAAAATTAGCCCTATAACCTTTGATCTTTCACAGATCGTCTAACTTGTAGTTTTAATTTCAACACCTTTTTCTTATTTTTATCACTCCAGTAATTTCTGTTTTTCCGATTGAAAATTGGACCCTTTGGATGAAAAATCGACTCATTGGTCCAAAGTATATGACGCATTCCTCTAGATATTGCACGGGTAAAAACTTAAATGCTTTTCATTTATTTAATTTTAAACAATATCTGAGGCTAATTCTTTTAACATTCAACTCCAACGCGGCTTGACAAGTGGTATATTCTCAAAATGTAGTAGTATATCCAACTGCCTCTCCTTTGTTAGAACTTGTCGTGGTCTTGTCTTGGACGTTGCCTAAACTTTACATAAATTTTTCAAAATAGCTTCTTCTCTGGAATTCGCCTTACCGAAAACTTTCTTTGATACTCCAGGACTGGACTTTCGAACTCTCTTTTTTTTTTTCACCATATACCTTTTTAACTTAAGTAATAATGATATTGCTTGATTAAAATTACATCTGTCAAAATCTAACTCCTAATTATAACATCACTTAAAACAATTATAAACAGTTATTTGGTTACCACAGCCTACTAGGGTACAAAGTAAGTTTCATAATAATATTATTATGACTTTTAAAAAAAATGAGAGCTTTTTACTATTAATGAAAACTTTATTTAATTATGCGAAATCTTAATAAATTGTCCATCATTCGTTAAATAAAATATAAGAAAGATATGCCACTATAATGATCCAATATTATGTACGTCGCAATTTATGTACGTCCCACCGTACCCACCAATGGAGTTCGGCAGTCGGTATCGTCCGAATTACCCAACTTCCAACAGGTCGAGTACGCTTTGTTCGCATCTAATATTTCGCAATCTTATATAGCTTAATGTTGTGTCCTATACTTCATTAAAGCGTTTTACAAAAAAAAATTAGTTGCAAATTCAATGGTAAAATTTCACACTTTTGGTTTTAGACAGAAGGTGTCGCGGGCTTCCTTCTTAAAAGCTTCGATAAATATATTTGCTATGCCTGATGACAATGGAAAACCCACAGATGTTTTTGATATTTGTTCATAAATTTGACCGTCTGAAGCGTATTTTTCTTGTTTACGGTCAAATTTATGAACAAATATCAGCAAGATATATGAGTTCTCCTTTGTTGCTTGCTCGTCGCAAGTATATTTATGGAAGATTTTAAGAAGAAAGCTCCCGACACCTTCCATCTAAAACCAAAACTATGGAAACGACAAGAATCCCATTCTTATATATTGCTATTAATAGAAAATTAGGCCTCACATTGGATCCATTCAATTTACAGAAACCTCTTCACACCTGCAGATCGATACGTTAATGCATTATGACATCACCATCAGGTGCAAAAAACATCGTTTATTAACTCTCTCGTTTACAGAGTCGTAAAATTCTCCCAACCAGAATCACTGAGCCCAAAATTAAAACACGCAACATCTGCTCTGCTCTCTAATATTTTCCACACAACCTATCAAAAAAAATGAGTATCAAATTCTTAAGAAATATAATTTTAAAACCAGATTTACCATTTATCCAACGTCTTCGATCCGTCAAAGACAAAATTCCAGGAGATACCAGAAGTTTACAGCAATCCATGCATCTGCTGCAAGGAATACATCGAAGAAACAGAACGAAAAATATCAACTAGGCTAAAAGAACAGCCTTACAACTACGACAAATAAACTCATCAGCAGTTGCCGAACACATTCATGGAATAAGGAAAGAAATCTTATTCGATCGAGTTAAAATTCTTCTACCAACGAAAAATCCTCTAGGAATTTCCAAACAACCAAATAATCTTAACCAGGACTTAGATCTTTACCTTTCACCAATATGGGAATCAGGGATCCGAGGCAAAGTTCGTGTCCCTCTTTCAGCTCTATCACTCTCAAACAGCAGGTAAGCAGATACAGAGTAGAATGCAAACCAGTTTCAGAACAAGCCACCAAGATGATTGGCGGAACGTCGACAAGTTCGACGCATTCACAAGTTTTGTAAATAACGTTTCACCATTTTCATCTTCACTCTATCCGATTAATAAAATGCCAGAATCCCAACGGCTAATTAAAAAAAGGGTTAATAACCATTCCATTAAAAGGACCTGACTTAATTAGAAAAACGTTTCTGAACGGTATGAAATTGTTTTTAACTCGGGTTTCTGCTATAATTAAGAAAATTAAGAAACGGACTTCTTTTTAGAAAACAAATTAAAGCCCAGTAAATACCTTCATTAACTGATTGTTCTGCAAAGCAAGTCTCTTATTCGATTTTAATATATGTTTTAACACTGCAGATATCGGCCGGCGTTTTTAAATCAAAGTTTGACATTTATTTTCGAGAATCGAAAAAATCGAAACTTAATAGCAAATTCTCTCTTCTATCTTTTTAAACGCATAAATTAAATCACCATTCTGATACACTACTTTTATTAATACAGTTTTAAAATGTTTTATGTATTAAACTTGGATTTAGATTAATGGAAGCATTTCTAGATACAAGGTTATATAGGCTATTCCTTTATCTTTGTATTTTGTAGTTTACATTATAACTTACTTGTTTTAGCCATGGAACGAGATGCGCTGGCGAAGTAGCAGCGGCAAGAGACAACGGAATCTGTGGAGTTGGGGTTGCGTACGATTCCAAAATTGCAGGTAAGCGATTTAAGGATAAAAATATCTCGAAGAATGAGTGCGCAAATCAGATTAGTATATAAATTATAAATATAAGAGACAAAAAATTATATGTAGTTCCAATATGTACAGTGTGCCCATTTTTTTTTATTGTACGGCATATCTATCTTATTAACAAGGGTAGCGTGTTGCAAATTTCGTGACTCAATACAGCTTTTTTTTACACACAGATTTATTTTGAAACTTTTGAATTTGTAGTTTAGTTCTTATCTTATCAAAAACTGGTCTGAATAGGGGTTTTTACGTAGTATCCAGTGGGTTAGTCAGATTTCTTATAAAAATAACTAATTTTTTATATACAAATTAAACTTGTGTTTTTCAGTGGATTTGTAATGATTTTATTATGCTTGTTAGGAACGTTTCAAAAATATTGCAAATATATATATATATATATATATATATATATATATATATATATATATATATATATATATATATATATATATATATATATATATATATATATATTCTCACTCAGTGTTCGAAGTGTTTTCGGAGCGCGAGCATTGAAGATGCCAAGTGAGATTTTGGCGAAACGTCTGCAGGATTCCAGTCGGATGCAAGATTTGCAGGATTCCAGTCGGATGCAGGATTCCAGTCGGAGTTCAATGAGCGAACGGATGATATCCCGGAATATAGTGTCATCATATATATATATATATATATATATATATATATATATATATATATATATATATATATATATATATATATATATATATATATATATATATATATATATATATATATATATATATATATATATATATATATATATATATATATATAACTTATATTTGCGTAACATAGTATGTTTCCTCTGAGTATAATATTTAAATATAAATGAATATAAACAAGTACGGTTTATTTAAAACAATAAATTATAAAACTACATTTGCTCCATTTTGCCTCCTTAGTGGATAACAATACAAAACATTTAATCCTTGCATGGTTCGCAAGTAAAAACCGCTTCTTCGTCTTGATCTTTAGCGCCAGCGCAGGAACAGTGTGCGGGTTTACATGACACATCAGACACTAGATCCAGCTTTCCGTTGACGTTGAATACAAATAATCACAATACAGACAATCTGCGTCTTTTTCTTCACTAGAAGAGGACTCGTTTTTCTCGGAAAACTTCTTAACCTTGTTTCCTTGTTTTTTTTTCTATTTTTATCGTATTTTACACCTGCATTGTGAAAACCGGTTTTTGCTTTGACTTGTTGAGCGTTTGCTTGCGATATTTCCAATTCTTTTTGATAGGGCGAGGATGTAACCATAGCTCTTTTTCGGGTCACCCTTTTTGCTTGTTTCGTTTTTGGTTAGTTAGTTAGGCGAAACGATAAAGCTTTTATTTAAAAAAGTCTAGTAAATTGTGAGGCGTGCAATTGCTTCATTGTCGGAATCATCCTTTTCGTCCTGGTTCAGATTTGGAGCAACAATATCAGGAAACTCTAGTGACTTGGAACAACAAAGTTGGTTTCTTAGCCTTGCAAATGACTCATCAGAATATCTGCTTCCCCCGTGACAAAAGTGACAAAAAACCCGATTAAACCATGTAGCTCTTGCAGCTGAGATAACCTCTGGTTTTCGAAAACTAAGATCGGGGTCGAAGTTATGCTGGCCTCCATATTTTTTACTTGCGCAGCAAGCACTTTCTCCTGATTTTTTTTTAATACCGTATCAAATCTCTCCGGGTGACGTAATATTGTTTTAGGTATAATTTATAATATTAATTTGATAATTTTCAGAAGCTTTTTTAGGTCCCATAGCCTTAGTTGCAACTTTAATTATTGCTTGGTTCATTGATTCTTCGAACAATTTTTGCCTGTCGGGCTTTCTTTTATAGTTACTAACCATCTGAAAATATTAGAAGCTTTGTGTAAAAGAAGTGCAAAACGTAACGGGACGTCAAACTGGTCCAAGTGGTCAATTTTGCAATTTTGCTATATTCTAGAAAATATGCCGATCTGGAGGTTATGTCAACAAAGAACATCAAAGAAATATGATATAGGTTGCTAAAAAGTGCAGGCATTCAAATATTGTTACATTTCATGTTTCGTATTAAATTCTACCAAATATAGCTTGCCCTGTTAAAATTTCGTAGGACACTGTTGCCGGTTGTGACTAATTGTCCAAAGCTTGTTCCGTGCAGCAAAATTTCATGTTATAAGTGGACCAGGAACATAGTGCTTTTACAACTGACCCCTGATTAACTTTTCTACTGTTTATTACAACAACAACTTTGTAGGGATGGTGCAAATATTATTTAAACGATTTTAACGGACCGTTTTACTTGATTTTCCACGCCTACCTCTACATATTTTGAGAAAATACTGCTGTAAAAATGTCGCATGCAAACTTATTGACGATCTGTCAGTGGCCATGTGGATTGTTGAATGACGCAAGGTCAAAATTTTCACAGGTATTGCGTCTACATCTCTATAGCTATATGTAATAAACTTACTAGCATACTTGATCTTACTTCAAAACAAATTCTTTCGAAAATGGTTGTTGCTAAGAACTTCTAATAACATGACCTTCTCCACGTAGAATTGATTGAAAAATTTGTGTTTTTTACTAAAAATATAGCACAAGCTCGTACAGAAAGTAATGAGTCTATCAAAGTGAGAAAAGTTATACTTTTTACAAAAATTCTGGATTCTTCCTGCGTCGGTTTTTGCTGAGTCGAACTTGCTGACGTTTTGCCAATCATCCTGTTGGCTTCTTCAGAGCTTGATAGTTTCAGTCAAGCTTTGAGGAAGCCAACAGGATGATTGGCGAAACGTCAGCAAGTTCGACTCAGCAAAAACCGACGTAGGATGAATCCAGAAGTTTTGTGAAAATAATTACAGTAGCCTGTGGAAGTTGCTTTGAAAAAAAAAAGAAAAAAAAGAGAGAAAAGTTATGTAGGTAGGCATCCCCAAAAATACTTAGTTAAGAATGAATTAAAATTTGCATTGTCAAAAAACCGCAGCTATCAATTTTCGTACAAGAATACGAAATTATGCTGAAAAAAACAAAATAAGAATAAAATTTTGACAACTGGTATCTGGAACCCGATGCCTGTTAGTCCACACGTTCATAATAACTGTTCCCCTGTTTACCTAATAAACTCTTAAGAAATCACTCTGTGAAATTTCGCAGTTATTAAATAACACACTGTACATCCACTTTTAAACATCTTTAAACACGTTTGTATCTAGTATTTATTTGCAACAATCACAGAGATAGTTTATACAACAAAACACAGCACAACTACATATTGTTATTCCAGTTAATGGTGTGAATGTACTCAAAGAATATACCACCGATATTGTGGCCAAATTGAAACAACTCATTAATCCGAAGCGATATCCACTATCAAATCCCATTTACTTCCGTTAATTACCTTCGGGACTGCGAACAAAGTGCTGACATTAATATGACCCCGGCTTTGAGCGCAAAGTTTGTAATTCCGGACCGCATTTAATTTGATGCTGCTCTCCCGAGAAAATTCTAGGATATTTTTAATAGGCGTTTTAAAATGGTGACGGAATTAGGAACGGAAACGAAACCTGGAATTGCCAATTGACTTTAAACAAACTCAATTTTTGGAATAATAACTAAAATTAAAATTAATGGTACCAATAACGAAATCACATGCATCCATCGATTTTGTGAGGTTCACCACATTTGTTTTTCAACAAATATGCCTCGTTCCAACGTTGCCTCCCCGCACCTCGGATACTCTGTCATCATTATACTTTGCTGCCCATACAGATCGCCTAGGCTGGGATACTTAGGTATGTCTGTTCATAGATATAAGAAAGTGACTAACTGATACGAATTAAAAAAAGACCTGTTCAAGCTGTAAGAATGAAATATGGCCGAACAGGTCCGTACTTTGCTTAGAATGTAATTATTTAGGGTTGTGTTTTACACTTTTCCTCGCTGAAATGGGATTATTCACAATTTTACATACAGTTGATGTTGGAATTTTCGTCAATGTGGCCGTTTCTTCTAAAGATGCTTGTTTGCTAGCGCCACGTTCAATGAGAGAGTCAAATAAACATTGTTTATAACTTCCTTAGTCTCAATAGAATAGTGTTTTCTACATTTGGGCGGGAGCATCTCCTGAGATACACTAGACTCGCACATATTTTGCATAATTCGCACACGATTCAACACACGCTGTATTACACACGAAATAAGAATGATTACTAATAAACTTAAACTAAGTAGTATACCAAACCAAAGAAAAACACAGGTAGGTATAAAATTATTTTCAATTACCGATCACAATTTTACCTGAATTTAAATTCCGAAACTTTAGGTAATAATCTTGTTGCATTGTATGTTAATGGATAATTGGATAATTCCATTCAAAAGCAATTGGTCACTTTCTTATATCTATGAACAGACCATACTTATTACTTATTACATATTATGTCTGCTATAATGTTCTTTCCATAAAATGAAGGGTGGGAATATATTCGGATGTGACCAATCTCCTATAATTTGAATTGAAATTCCTTACAGGTAAGTCGTTAAATCCTTAATTATACTTCGATTGGTCACATCCGAATATATCACTCTGTAGATGTTTAAAGTATATGGGCAATCTTTGGTGTCAGGCTTGTAGATAAATCGATTTCAGATCAGTTTTATTTATTTTAACAAAGGGTGCTAAAATAACAAACCTAATTATTCCTAATTAATAAACATAATGACAAATACAAAAAAAAATGTTATAACACTGAATGAATAACATAAGACAATACAATAATTCAATATACTATTAGAACACAAAACGGTATTCGCTAAGATTTGTATTTAGCGATGTTTTCTAAATAAGTATCGAAAGTTTCAAGGCAAGGAGGTATATTGTAAAATTTTTTAAATGTGTTTTTCTTGTCAGACTATCCTGCTTTCTGCAAGCGGCATGTCTTGTACTATGTTTTTTATATTTGTTAATGTCTACA